GTGGGCCGAGGCCGAGGCGGACTGCTCGAAGGCCCTGGGCTTCAACGCCAAGAACGTCAAGGCGCACTACCGCAGGGCCATGGCCAGGCTGGAGCTCGGGATGGCGGAGGGCGCGATGCAGGACGTCGACCGCGTGCTCGAGGAGATGCCGTCCCGCCAGAGCAACGCGGAGGCCGTCGTGGAGGCCGTCAGGCTTCGCGCAAAAGCGGCCCTTCACCAGAGTGACCTCGAGCGCGCGCCAACATTTAGGCATCCTGAATGGGGTCCAAGTAGATGGGGTCAGAGGATCGCTCCGCATCGACGATGCAGATGGAGAGCCCGATTTTCTCCACCCTGGCGTAACCGATATATCGCCGGCGTCGCCGCTGCATTGCCGATGCATCGGCGATGCGGCGCGGTCCTCCGATCCCACTGATTCGGACCCCTTTTCAGAGGCCTCTACCATGGGAGCCCCCCCATCATTGGCTTGCGCGCTCGGATTTGGTCCCCCCGCACCCCTGGGGCGCCCTGGAGCTGCGCACGAGCAGGTCACTCTTGCCTGCGGGGTCGCTCCTGCGTGCCGCCGGAGGCCGTGGACCTGCGGCGGAAGATCCGGGAGAAGCTGGGCCTGGCGCCAGCGGAGGAGAGCCCGCCCTCGCTCCCGCCGTGGGAGGGGCCACGAGGTGCCCCTCGCCCATGGTGCCCCCACCGAGTTCCAGGAGCACCCCTCGCGAGGCTACCAGCCTCTGGGCCTCGCGGAGGCCTCTCCGCAGGAAGTCACTGTTTGCGCACGCTCTGGCGCGTCACGAGGCCCAGAGGGCCCTGGGGGGCTCTAAGCTGGAGCGGAAGGGTGAGGACACCTTGGGCGAAGGACACGCCTTGGCAGCCCCAGCTCCTGGGGGGCTTGGAAGAGGGGCCGCACCCTCTTTCCTCCTCCCTCCTCCTCCTCCTCCTCCTCCTCCTCCTCCTCCTCCTCCTCCTGTTGTTGTTGCGGTAACCGCAGACCTCGGACGTCGTTGCTGCTTCCCCGAGGTGGAGCTGGCCTGGGCCTGCTCCGCGTGGCCTGTCTCTGGCCCCCGGCCGATCTGCGAATGTTCCCGGGGGCCCTTCGGGGGCCCCAGGGAGGCCGAACACGGCCAAGAGCGCTTCTCGGGGTCTCCTCATATATCGGGGGCGGAACATAGGGGGGGTGATGACCAGGGGGGGGATATCATGGCGGGGGCCATGAGATTTCCCCAGATCGTACGGCGCCTCTTCTTACCTCATTACGTCCCTGCCCCCCCCGCTGGGCCGCGCACATGCCACCGGTCATGATTTGCGCCCCCCCCTCTTGGGCACCCCCCTCTGGGCCGCTCCCGAAATAAGCGTGGAGGGGTACTCCCCCGACGGGGGTCGAACTCGCCTCGCCGTCGCGCTGCGACGGGGCTCGGAGCGCCTTCGGCGTGCAGTGGCTGCCTGCGACGGGGGTCGATGTGGGGCTGTCGGCGGGGGTGACGCCCCCCCGACGCTTTTGAAGAAACTCGGGATAGGGGTAGGCCACGCGCAGAGGGGGGTAGGGGCAGGGGGGAAAGGCTTCTCAGAAACACCCCTGCTTCTTAGAAGGCGCGTCCCTCGGCCGTAGAGTGCAAGGCCCGCGCCCTCTGAGAAGCAGCCTGCTTCTAAGACGCCTCCCCCCTCCCACTGCCGGCTAGCGCGCGCCGCCAAAGTGGGGCCCTGAGTCCCCGTCGCTCTCACTCCAGATCCCCTCGTGCTCTGCAGGCCGGCGACCTCCAGTCCGGCCGGGGCCCCAGAAGCGGGCCTCGAGGGGGCCCCACGCCGCCTCGGTGGCCACAGCTGGCGCCGGTCGTGTGGTGGTCTGTGGAGCTCGCTGCGGAGCTCGTCCTCTCCCGAAGAACACGCAAGCTACTCGAACACAAACTTTCGGCGCTCCGCGCGGATTCCTTGGATCCGCGCTGGACTTTCCAGCCTCGAACTTATCCCTATCCCTAAGATTGACACGCCAAAAGGCGATGACAATCTTAGGGATTCGCCCTCAAAAAATGAGGGACTCCCTAAGATTGGCATCGTGATGAGGAGATGCCCAGCATAGGGATAGGGATATGTTCCAGGCTGGTAATGGGCACCCTCCCTGGCGCACGGGTTCTTCGTTCTCGTTCTGCCCCCCGCCGCCCTGGCCCTCCTCGAATTCGGAGGGGCGCCCCTGGCGCCTCGCGCCTCCCCGCGCCGTTCGCGGGGATCTGTTGCGAGGAGGGGGGTGGAGGAGCATTCGAACAGGAGATCGACTACAGTTGGCGGTGGGTCTGATGAGATGCACTTCGGCCGCAGTCTCCCCCGCGCGTGCCAGCGTTGAGTTTGGGGGGGGAGTGTTCAGTAATTGTTTCTCTCTACCGCACTTGTTTTACCCCGACGCCTTTGGGGGGAATTTGCGAACAAATACGTATCACGTCCGAGGATCTACGCAAAGTGCGCGCATCTCCTGTACATTCGGCAACAAGTAATTCTTCACGCTTTGCGCATCCCCACCAGCTCGTCCTGAAACGCTGCCTATGAGAGCTGATGGGGACATGGACGAACAGACACATCTGGTGAAACAAAGCGGGCAACCAGGGTCAGAGAGACCTGGGAGCACTGAGGTGGCCTTGGAGGGCATCGTCGGCCCATCCCTGGGGCCCGTGGGGGGGGCGAGGCCAGGAGGAGGAGGAGGAGGTGTGAGAATGTTGCCATCCATGCCGGGGAGGAATACAGTACATATTGCAGGCAGCGTTTAGGCAGCAATCTTGTCAGTATCAACGAATCGTCTGGTACTGGATCGTGTGGTTGCTGGTTTGGCTCAAGTTCTATGCTGCCTTCTCGTGAAAAACTCCTGCCAGATTTTCATGGTAGCGGAGCCCGTGGTTCGCTCAGCGGGGCCCCGAGCAGAGATGGCAGCGGTGGCCGCTGCAGCGACCCCAGTGGACCTCGGCAACCACGACCCGGGTTACAATGTAACGCTGCCTGATCTTGGCATCGCTCGGACGTGTGCGTTTTTCCTTCGGCGAGGACCATCGAGGAGCATCCTTGGTCATTCGGCGAAGCATCCACGCACGAAGCCGAAAAAAACACAGGGAATGGACGTCCGAGCGATGGCCAGTGATGTGGGACGCTCTTGGGCCGTCTTTGGGCCGTGTTGGGGCCAGGCCATTTTGGAGGCTCTCGATGAAAGGAGGAGGGTGTCCTTATTTTCCGCCCGCCCCCCCCCCCTGGAGCCATCCAGATCGCGTTTTGGGGGCCCTCTTAGGGCGTTCTTGGGCTGTTCTTGGGGGAAGCGCTGGCACCCCAGAAACGCAGGGTATTCAAGGGATAGGCGGGGGTTGCGTCCACTTGCCCGGTGTGTGCCAGCATGTGTATTCTAGTGTTCTACACCTCCTCAAGCATCTTGCCAGGAGTGGATGTGGACCTCAGCTAATTGGTGGTAGTTACAGAAAGCCGCCACTAGAGGAACGGCTGCGAGCAGAAGCTCGAGACCGTGCCCTACTTGTCCACGCCCAGTCTCTGGACCGAAATTAGCTCAAACATTGCGACCGCCTACCGAGCTCGCATTCGCTAGTGCATGTTTTGCTTCATTCGATAGACTTGCGCCTTCCATGCTTTGGGAATAAAGAGGCCGTCTGGGGGTCCTCTGGGGCCCTTCTTGTGTCTCTCTTGGGCCATCTTGGGGTCATCTTGACGCTTCCAAAACGTATCGGAAGCGAAAAGGCGAGAAGGTATACATCATGGATTTGCCTTGGACTTTTTGACGGTTTTGGGCCGCTGGGCGGGGTCCTGAAGGGGCTCTGGAAACACTACTGTAGGACCCAGGTATGGCCCTCGTCGGGCCTCCTGGAGTTTTGTCGGAAGCTATCTTGAGCCACTTTCGGTCATCCCGGACCGCCTCGGAGGCCATCCTGGAGCATCAGAGATCCTCTTGGAGCCATCTTGGGCCATCGTGGACGCTGTAATTACAGTGCCGTTTTTAATACATGCTCCGCGTGCGGATCATGTATTAAAAATGCAGGGATCTAGTACTAACAACAACAAGGAGTTCATGCCTAACTTTAGTCATACATTAATCATGTATTAAACATTATATATGGTTTAAGATCCTATGTATTAGAAACTGCCCTGTAACCCCTTACGATGCCCCCCCCCCTTCCCCTCCCCAAAAAAAACTCATGGAGGGGAGGGGGAGGGCACCCCACCCCGAAGGGAAAGGAGGGCTTATTCCTAGGGGGGGAGAGGACCGACAAAAACTCGCTCTTGGCATCGCTCGGACGTGTGTATTTTCCTCGGCGAGACCATCGAGGAGCATCCTTGCTCATTCGGCGAAAAATGCTCACACGACATCCAAAAATGCACGGGGAATGGACGTCCGAGCGATGGCGAGCGCTGGACCGCCTTGGGCCAAAAAGCTCGTGGGATTGTGGGGTGGATCGGTTACATGCCGTCGATCTCCTGCTCGAGGGGAGGGAGGTCGAGGAGCACTCCCAGATCTCCATGATCTGATGCCATCAACCCCGCTTGTTCCTCCGACTTCGGCCACTGGGGAACGGAAGGCTCCGCAGCTTGGGAGAGGGGTCGGGACGTGGGGCAACGCATTGAACACCTCGCATCGTCAGATGTACATGTTAATTTCGATACAGAGGAGAGGTGCGCACAGCTGAAACCAAACATGAGGTCAGCCCTCGGCCCGAGCCGAGTCCAGCAATGGCCGCCTTGGGGGCCTCATAGGGACCTACCGGAGGCCATTTGGGAGGCTCCCTTTTCTTAAAAGATAGATGCGCTTTTTTCCGGGGCGGAAAGGGGATACCCAGATCTCCAGCATTCTGATTTTAATCCTCGAGCGCTGGTCAATGTTGGACTCTATAGGGCCCATCTTCGGGATCCCGGACCATCAACAAGGATCCTGGACGACAAACTACCCCTGAGGAAGGGGTCGGGACCTCCTTGGGTCTAGGCGGAGGTGAAGACCCGGCAGGGAACGGCTGCTTCACGGGGGGGAAGCCGAGACTCGCAGTTGCCCGCGCCCAGGGATGTGTGTGGGTGGGTTTTGTAGTTTGGGGGCGCGAGCGCATTCGGCTCAGCCGCCGCTGGCCTCGGAGGGCTACCCTCGGACCGCTTTGGGGGGCTGCCTTGGGCGCCCGCGTAAAATCGCGCGTAAGCGTCCTCGCCACCAGTGTGGCGTGCCGCGCGAGCGGCCCGCGTAAGCCGCCGCGTGAGGTCACTATGCCATCTCGCGTGAAACCCCTTTCTTTTCGTCGCTCATGTGCGGATTTGCTCTGGGGCCTGTGCCGCGTGGGGTCGCGCGAGCCCGCAGAGAGAGAGGTGCGTGCGCGTGGTCTCCTGCGGCGAGGTGGCCGTTCTGGTGCCCGGTGAGGCAAAGCGAAGAGTCTGTCGGAAGCTCTGAGGCGTGGGTCACTGCAAACTGGGGTCAGCCAGAGCGCCAGACCTTGCAGGATCCGGGGCCCACGGGCCACTCTCTCGGCCCCGTCTGGTGTCTGTTCGGACTGTCCCGGGGGCCCAGGACCAGGTCCCTGGGCTCCGAGCAGCCGCAGGCGATCAGCTGGTGTCTCACTGGCTTCCAGAGCCTCGATAACTCAAGGACTCCTGATCCAATGTCCTCACCGTGGTATCGCTTGCGCTGGGCCACAGGCGCCCTCCTCGAATGGGGGGCCGGAGCGACGGCGCGAAGAGAGCCGCGCGCTGCGCACCGCGGGGCGCGATGCGCGAAGTCAGATGGCCCACAGTGGAAATCCATCCCAAAGAAACACCCCGCTTGCCTCCAGGGTGCCCTGGATCTCGATGGTTCTGCTACGGAAAGCGTGACGCTCCCACGCCAAGCATGCATGGATTTCCTGGGGTCTCACGGTTGGGCTTCTTGTGGAAGGTTTTCTGTGGTCGGGCTTTTGTTGTACAGCCGCGCGTTGATAGAAGGAGCAGTTCGCCGCGGGCCGAACACATGTCCGTGCCCGCGGCCTCGCGGGCCGGGCCCCTGGGCCGCGACCCGCGGACACGGGGCGTTGTTTGTCGCGGATGCCCCGCGCGGAACGTGTCCGTGCGGCCGCGCAGTCCGCGGGATCGCGCCCCGGAATCCAGACCGCGAGGGCGTGGTGTGGACCAATGGATACGCTCGCGCTCGTGAGGTCGGCCTCGGAAGTGGGTCCCTGTTTTTGGATTGCGACTGGGAGCGTTTGGTCAGCGTGTCGCTCCGCAGGTTCTGGCTCTCCACGCTTCTGCGCGACACGTTGGCCGTTTCCCACTCCCCAAGAAGCACCGCTCCGAGGCTTTTCCCTCCCTCCCGCCCCGCGGAGCAGAGCGACACGCTGTCCGTTCGCAGGCCATAGCGTGTCACCGGGGCCGCCGCCGCGACACGCTAGACAACAAGTCACCGTTGTAGGCCCTTCCATGCTTGTTTCCCTGGGGGTCCTCGTGCAACGAGTCTCCTCTGGGGCCAGAGCAGCCTCGTTCCCTGCTTGGCGCCCCTTGCCCAGGCACCCGACGGCATGGCTTTTCCAAGGGGCGGTCCCAGCGACCCCAGTGGTTGTCCTGGCATCGCTCGGACGTGTGCATTTTTCCTTCGGCGAGGGCCATCGAGGAGCATCCTTGATCATTTGGCGAAAAAACCACGCACGAAACCCAACAAATACACAGAAAATGGACGTCCGAGCGATGGCCAGAGGTATGGTCGGCGATCTGGGCATGGTCGCACGGCGACTGCCAAAGCGGCCGCCGAGCGCGGCCGAGGGGCCGCCGGGGGGCCGCCGAGGGTCGCCGAGGGGCCACCGCGGGCGCCCCTCGCGAGCGCCAGGAGTAGCCGCCAGACACCGCCGCGGCGCTGCCGCGGGCGTAGAGAGGCCGCGTCGTGGCGCCTTCCCCTGAGATCCGCGCGCTGCAGGTTCTGTTGCACGCAGCGGCACTGTAACGGGTATACAGCCGGGGCGCTGAAGAAGGAACCCTTTTCGTTGGGGAGGGGCTCGGTGTTCCTTGAATATTTCAAAATTTGCCTCGGGCTTTCCTGAGGTTTTCCACGGGAAATCGAGGTTGAACTTATGGGAAAAAGGGGCCTCGTTCCTTATTTGGGGTTCCTTAGGTCAACGCCCCGACTGTAGTCATTAACGGGTACGTATTGGAAATGCCGCACGTCGCGGCGCTGCCCACATCGGGAAGGATTGGTTTCGCCGGGTCATTGGCCAAGATACCCGTTGGCAGAGTTCCCGTGAGAGTGGCGCCAGTGCACCCTGCTGATCATTGGATGCTGGAGCTTTCCAGTCGCGACCGATGATATCGGTCGCTGCGACGTTGCTCCCAATGCCGGTATGGGTCGCGGCCGATCCGCTTCAAGATCGGTCGCGACCGGTCGTGACCGATTTGGGAATCGGTCGCGATCGGTCGCGACCGATTTCGAGTGGCGATCGATCGCCGCCAATCGCGGCCGAAGAAAACGAGTATCCACTGATCAGGGCACCAGGCTTTTTGTTCGCAGGGTTGCGAGCCCCAGGGCTCTCGCAGATCGATCTGGGTCGAGAGGTGCCGCAGGAAGACTGTGCCTACCAGGGCCCCGACGGTGATGTTGCACGTTGGAGCCAGCTGGGGGTCTGAGGTGGCCCAGCACTGGTTTAGCAGGACGGGGATGCGAGGTTCGAGGTTCTGGATTCGAGTGGTTTTTTCTCTCATCTTTCTCTTGTTTCTGGCGGCCGTTTTCGGGCCCCAGAGAAAACGGATCTGGGGTGAAGAATTGCACCAGATGGACCCTGGGAGGGGCTGGGGGACCGATTCTGAGGGGATTTGCCCGTATTCCCCCCTCTTGACCGAGTTTCTCACGGCCCATCCGGCTCAGACCCCCAGGCCTCCTGCAAGCTGCACGAGGTCGCGGCTTACCCGCGACGCCGGATCTCAGGGCCACTCGCACTGGCTGCGACGCATGGCCGACGCCGGCGGTGTTGGGGTCGCGCAGGGACTTGCGTCGGCGCCGTTCCCTCCTAGACCTCCCAGATGGGGTCGGAGCAGATGGGCTCGGAGGATCGCGCCGCATCACCGATGCATCGACGATGCGTCTCGATGTGGGGCCCGATGTTCTCCATGCCGACGGCGCCGATGCACCACCGATATCGCTGGTGCATCGTCGATGCATCGCCAATGCATCAGCTATGCGGCGCGATCCTCCGACCCCATCTACTCCGACCCCATCGAGGAGGTAATTTTAGTTCCTTCCACTCACTCGGGGCGCTTCGTGGTAGGGGTCGGCGATCCCACGGGTCAGCCGTCAGCCAATCCCCTCATGGCTGCCCCAGACCTGGGGAGCTAGGTTCCCTGTGGTACGGTCGGGCCGACGTATGAGATCGAGGCCGCTTCGGGGAGGGTGCCCGAATGTTCGTCGTAGTTGCTGGATATTATTGTGCATGCTGGGGGAGGGCACCCTTGAGTGATCTTGTGGTTTGGGGTGTTTGGGCCGGCGGAGGGTCTCACGTTCTTGGAAGGTGTTCTTCTGCCCTAGGTCCGACTGTAGCCGACCCCCCGATGCTTCTCGGAGGTGCACAGGGGGGCGTCTCGGAGGCCCGGCGAGAGCCGGGAAGAGACGTCCGTGCATCCCTCCCCCATCGACCCTCGAAGGGGTCAGGGCGCCCTCCGCCGGGAGGCTGTCTCTCTTTCGACCCAGGCCCTGGGCATCGCTCGGACGTCCGCGTTTTTTTTTCTCTAGGGGATGACCATCGAGGAGCATCTTGGCTATTCCTGCAAAAAGGGACAAAAGAGCACGCACGAGACCAACAAATGCACAGGGGAAGGGGGCCTCCGAGCGATGGCACGGGCCAGTTTGCTTGCATGGTTCCCTTCCTCCAGGCTCCCCCGCCCTTGCCAAACGGCGCCGGGCCGAAGATGCGTGTAGCTATCGGGCGGGTGGTACAGTCGGGGCCCTGAAGAAGGAACCCTTTTCGTTGTGGAGGGGCTCCGTGTTCCTTAATTGTTTCACAGCTTGCCTCAGGTTTCCTTAGGTTTTCGATCGGAAATCGAAGTTCAACTTATGGAAAGCAGGGGCCTCGTTCCTTGTTTAGGGTTCCTTCGGTCAACGTCCCGACGGTATCTATCGGGCGGGTGGTACTGGGGGGGGGGAGGGGGGCGACCCGCATGGGGGGTGAAGAAGAGGATCCTCGAGGAGCCTTTTAGAGGCCCCTTGTGGAGCCAGCTGGTGCCCAGAAGGGCCCCTTTCGGGGCCCTTTCCTTCACCCCCCACTCAGGTCACCCCCGATTACAGTGCCGTTTCTAATGCATGCTCCGCGTGCGGATCATGTATTCAAAATGCAGGGATTCAGTATCAAAAAAACAACGATGAGGTCACGCATAAATTTCTTCATAAATTAATCATGCATTAGAATCCTATTGAAAAAAAAAATCCCATGTATTAAAAACTGCCCTGTACCACCCGCCCGAATCTAGGCCTCCCAGGTGGGGTCCGAGTGGAGGAGGTCGGAGGCTCGCGCCGCATCGCCGTGGCATCGGCGATGCGGCGCGTGGTGGATCCTCGCGTTCTCCACCTTGGGCGTCGCCGATGCATCGGCGATGCGCTGCAATCCTCTGACCCTGATGCACCACTGACGTCGCCGGCGCATCGGCGATGCGTCGCTGATGCATCGTCGGTGAATTGTCGATGTGGGACGATCCTCCGAACACATCTGCTCGGGCCCCATCCAGGAGGCCACCATAGCTTGTCCCGACGTGCTTGAAGCTCTGATTCCCCTTGGGGTCTCGCCACGCCCTCCACTCCCTCGGCATCACTCGGACGTTTGCATTGTTCTGGGCGGGGACCTTGCCAGAAGATGCGAACCACCTCGGAGTATTTGGGATCACCTCGGGAACAAGCAAAAACGAACGACATCGAAAAAGGAACGGGCAAGGGACCCCCGAGCGATGGCAAACTGCCCCGTCCATGCAAGCAGTCCTGCCGGAACCTGAAGAATTTCTTTCTCTGGCCCATACCGCGAGGCCAGTCCGAGTCCGCGACATGGCCCTGGCCGGCCCGGGTCCGCGCTGGCCCGGGCTCGTGTGGCGCAGTTTCTCAAGCAGAGGCGGAGTTTCCTGGCTCGCCTATAAGCCTACCAAACAATGTTCTAGGACCCTTTTGTGGTTTCCACGAACTGTTCTTAGAACATTTCTCACTGGGACTGTCTTGTTTTAGCACATCGGGTTTATGTTCTAAGCCCATTGTTGCTATTAGAACATATTGTGGTTCTAAGAACATTTCGTGCTAGGCCTATAGGAATGCCAGGACTGTCGGTCCCTGCTCAAGTTTCCGAGCTGTCCGCGCGATTGTTGCCGCCGCCGGCCCAGGCAGGCCGCGCCGCCCGCTGCTGCTCGGCGCTTGCCCTCCTCGCTGGTCGGACGAGAGGGGGATGGTAGCGGTGATGACGCTGGCGCTGATCGTGATGACGATGATGATGATGATGATGATGATGATGATGATGATGATGATGATGATGCTTATGATGATGATGGAGATGATGATCGTGTTGATGATGAGCATGCGGATTCGAATCATGCTTATGATAGTGAGTATGGATGATGGCGGTGGTGACAGTGATAGTGATGATGATCTCAGTGATGATGATGATGATGATGATGATGATGATGATGATGATGATGATGATGATGATGATGATGATGATGGAGGTGGTGGTGGTGGTGGTGGTGGTGGTGGTGATGGTATTGATGATGCTGGTTGTGGTGATGATGAGTTTGGCAATGTTGGGGGATGGTGATGGCGATGCTGACGATGGTGACGATGGTGATGGTGGTGGTGGTGATGGTGGTGATGCTGAGAAGGAGGAGGAGGAGGAGGAGGAGGAGGAGCATGACGACAGGGTGGAGGGGAAGGAAGACGACCAGTGCAAACCTAAGACTCCTCAACAACACTGCAATACGCCAGCCCTCCAAGTTCCCTATTTATAGGCCGTACACGGATTCATTTTCATTGAGGGCAATACCCAGTTGGCAGACAATTGTTTGAAAATCCCGAATAGCATCATAACGTCGTTCTTTGGACTTCAACGCAACGAATCACCGTGATTGTTGCGTCTTGACGAGCCTGAATCGTGCCAGAACGCCGTTCCTGGGACTTCAACACCGCGAATCAACGTGACAGTTGCGCCCCGACATGTCGACATTGTGCCCAAACACCGTTTCTGGGACGTTATGAGAATCGTTGAAACAGCTGCAAGCTCTGAAGACGATTGTGCGCGGCGCGGAGGCGAGAGCCACATTTTGAAAACGGGCCGCCACTTGTGAAACTCTTGCAAATTTTCAGTCGAATGAGCGCGGCGCTAAGGCGAGCGCCACATTTTGAAAACAGGCCTCCATGCATCCGTCAAACTTTTGCAAACTTTTGAGACGAATGTGCGCGGCGCAATGGCGAGAGCAGCATTTTGAGAATGGTCCGCCCTCCATCCGTGAAATAGTTGCAAATGCCAAGCTTCAGGATCACGAATTGCTAGGACGTCTCGGGCGACCCGTTCGACCGGCCTCGGGGTGCGGCAGGTAGAAGTTATGAGTAAAGAACATAGAGAGAGAGAGAAAGAGAGAAAGAGAGTAGAGAACATAGAGAAAGATAGTAAAGAACATAGGTATTGAAGAATGTGGCAGGGGTGGAATACATACAGAGAGAGAAGAGAAAAAAGGCAGGGCCATTCCTCTGGCCACCACGGGCCATCGCATGCCAACCTGTGCCGTCCGCGCAGAGATGTGGATCCGTAGTTCTGGCCTGGAAGTGTTTTTTTGCTGCCACGGCGCGAAGCTGGAGATTGCCAAAGGTGTCCCTGGCCCAAGGTGTCCCCAGAGTTTCGCGTTCGTTGGACACGCCATCAGTTGGATGGGCAATCTGGGCCTCCCCCGACATCATGGGGCCACCTTCGGCCCCCTTCGAAAAAAAGGTGTGCAAGTGTGCAGGGGAAGAGGAGTGCGTGTTTTCTTCCTCTGTCTTGTCCCTGAACCTTCCCCGGGCCGTGGGACCGCCGAAAAGCGGCTCGGGATGAGACGCGTGTCTCGGGGCGAAGTCCTGGGGTCCATAGAGGGCCCGTTTCTTTCGGGGGCATCCATAAGGGAGGAGGGGAATGGGAGTGTGTGACTAGCATGGCTGGGGCCATGTTTTTCCCCAGAATTCAAGGCCCCCCTCGTCCGCGCACATGCCTCGGGCCATGCTGCGCGAACCCCCTCTTCGGCGCACCCGAAGATAGAGGCCTCCTATATGGGGTCGGACCAGATGGGATCGGAGGATCGCGCCGCATCGCCGATACATCGGCGATGCATCGGTGATGCATCGGTGATGCACCAGCGATGCATCGGCGACGTCGGCGATGCATCGGCGACGTCGACGTGAAGCAAATCGGGCCCCACATCGAGCCGCATCGGCGATGCATCGCCGATGCGGCGCTCTGCTCCGACCCCATCCACGAAGCCTGGAGAAGAAGGGGCCGAGGCATCTCAGAGAACGTGCGGCCGGAAGTCGGCATTCTCCCAGCATGCTTCTACTCAATGTTCAGGAGGGAGAAAAACACACAGACACAATTAATCGTCGATTCGCCGGAAAATATAGGAAAATATGGGAAGTGGGGGACCCAGAAAATATTGGGAAATATTGGGAATCCTGTTATTTGTGTGTATTTGTTTGTGCGTCCTGGGGCCCCTTCAAAGTCGGCATTACCCCAACATGCCTTGTACTCAATGTGCGCGTCGGCCCCACAGAAGCGACGCGCGCGCTCTGGAAGCTCGTGGGGTAAGCTCCGCTGTGCGGGCGCTCTGGGGCAATGCCGCCAGTCCTCCTCCTCCTCCTCCTCCTCCTCCTCCTCCCTCCTCCTCCTCTCCTCCTCCCTCCCCTCCTCCTCCTCCTCCTCCTCCTCCTCCTCCTCCTCCTCCTCCTCCTCCTCCTCCTCCTCCTCCTCCTCCTCTCCCTCCCCCTCCTCCTCCTCCTCCTCCTCCTCCTCCTCCTCCTCCTGAAGATGTGCGACGAGAGGCTCTACTGTATGATCCGGTCGGACGTGCGTCTCCAGCAATGGCACGTGATACCAAAGATGTCTTGTTGCGCCCCGTAGAGCCGCACTTCCTCCATCCAGACATCGCCGATGCATCGCCGATACGTCGGCGTTGCGGTGCGATTTTCGGACCCCTTTGCTCCAGGCTTGCTCTGCTTTCAGCTTTGGAGCCCACCTGAAGTTCGATTGCTCGCTTTTTTCTCGGAGATCCGAATACCTTATCAGGAGAGGAGGTCGGACCTGTGGGGCCGATCTGGAGGCCCTGGATCATCTGGATAATCCTGGGGCGTGCCAGAGAGAGGCACCCAAGGAGAGGCTGTTCAGGAGCCATGCTCGAGCCGTGGGAGCATCCGATTTGGAAGATGTGGGGCGAACCTCCGCGTTCCTTCGCGATTCCACCCATGCGACAGCGCAGTTCGTTGTGGCTGGGGAGTATTGCTGCAAATCCTGGAAAGTGTCGGTTGCGCGTTGAAGGACCAACTTGTTTGCAACAGGCAGAAATTCTATCGCAGTGGGAAGCAAAACGCCCGGGCCGTTGGTGGACGCGGGTTGGAGGTAGCGAAGTCAGCCGCTTGCGGCAGGCTTCATGATGACAGGCATCGCCGCATGGACCATGATCGCCACATGCACGCCTGGTCCGCAACCGCTGAGCACACATGGCAGTCTCTGGAAGGGCTGCGATCAGCGGACAGCTGTCTGGCCATTCTTTTTGCCGCCCCCTGTGCATCTCGTTGCTGCGGCCCGTGTGGCGCTCTCGATGAGTCACCCTCTCTGTTCCTCTCCTTCCAGGTCTAGGCATCTAGATGTGTGAATATTGGAGAGGCCTGACGGCCGGTGCCGCCGACCCTGATCGAAAGGGCTAGGAGTGGGGGGAGGAAGCGGAGGAGGAGGAGGAGGAGGAGGACCTTCCAGGTCTAGGCATCTAGATATTATGCCTGCGGGCCCTGCCTGCCCGGGTGGCTCGCCTGACGTCGTGCAGATGCGTCGCACCTCGGGTGCAGGCAGGGGAGGGCATGGTGGGCAGCAGAAACGTGAGCACCTCTGGCTCCCGACGCGCGGTCCGGAGACTCCCAGATCTCCGACGCCGTCACTTGTTGAAAGACAGGGCCCCTGGAGCCCTCGATCCCGTCCCGATCATGCTGGGTCCTTTGTTGACGGACCTAGGGGTAGAGTCGGACCGCCGCTTTCTCCAGAATGCGCAGCAGTGGAAAAAGAACGGCGAGTTGAAACAGAGCGCGGCGTCGGATGTCTCGGGGGCATCTCGCCATCTCCCACATAAAGGAAGTGCACCAAAGCCCCTCCAAAGAAACCATCCTCCCAGCAGATGCCCCCACGGAAATGTATCATCACCCTGTGACCCTGGAGACCTGCAGAAGCCCTGGGGACCTCAGGAAGTTCAGAGATCGTCCTCAAACGTGCCCCCCGATTTCTTGCAGCGGGACGTCTGATCGTATGCACCTGTTGCGCTGCGGCTCGCAGAGAGGGGTGCGCCAGCACGTCACGCGGCCACTTTGCAGGTCGGCAAGACCAGGTGTTGGACGCTCTCGGCTGCCCCGCCCCGCTTCTCAGGCGTCCAGAGGCTGCTCTCAGGCAGCCTCCGCAGGCCCGCGGTGCGCAGCCGAGCTCCAGAGGCCAGCACGAGAGTAGCCTGCCTCGGGGTGCCCCGCCCCCGCTGCAGTCACGAGGAGGGCCCAGGCCCTCCCGTGCTGCTCCTGAGTGAGGGATCCGCTCGCGGGCCGCCGGACTCACTGCGCTCCGCTCCGCCCCGTTCCCCCTCCATCCCTCGTTCCCCCCCCCTCTCCATCCCTCCCTCCCCTTCTCCTCGGCTCCTCCCCCTCCTCTTCCTCTCCTCCTCCTCCTCCTCCCCTAACCACAGGAACACCTCATGCAACGCCTGGCCCTCCTCCTCCCCCAGGGGTAGGGAGGCTGCCAGCCAGCATCGGGCTCGTGCATCCTCACTCGGGCGCTTTGGCAGTGCGCTGCGCGCCACGCTTCAGTGGGCGCCCACGGGCCTCGCCTCCTCACGGCGCACTCCTGCTGCAGATCCTGGTTGCACGGGCCTCGCAGGCCACCCCCGGTGGCTCACCAGCACAGGCGCTGCACGCGTGGACCCCCGAGCCCCACCACCCCCACGCGGCCCCCCGAAAGCCGCGCACCAGAGGCTGCTTTCTCGCCCAGGGCCGCTCCCGCGCGTGGCCGAAGGGCAGTCGGCTCGCCGCGTTGGCTCACCGGCCCGCCCCGACTGACGGTCAGGAACTTTGGCTCAGCATGTAGCGTCCGTGATTCTGGCCGCCGTTTCGAGACGCGACGCGCTAACCACGTCCACATTTCCAAGCGCCAGCGTCCCGAGCCTCTCTCAGACTCCCGCGGAGCAGACCGGAGCGACACGCGATCCGCTTCCAAGGCATAGCGTGTCGCCAGGGCCGCCCGTTTGATCTTGCCTTTGACCTTGCTCTTGCACATCTCGTGAAACTAGTTCTCATGCCATTCTGCATGGCGTCGGCATGTTCCACGTGCCTTGGCTCCGCCCCCCTTTCTCCTGCACGCGCCAGTGACGTCCTGACGTCCCTGCAACCCACCAGCAGACGCTCAGTGGAATTCTACCTAGGCGTCCCCCGCCCTGGCACTCGGTATGTTGGATCAACCCGCCTGGAAGCTCGGGGGCGGCCAAGAGGGGTGTGATGACTAGGGGGGGAGGGATATCATGGCGTGGGCCACGATATCTCTCCAGGTTTCATGGCGCCTCCTCTTGTTGATTATGTCTTTGCCCCCCCCCCCCGGACCGCGCACATGCCGCCGGCCATGATTTGCACCCCCCCTCTCTTGGACGCCCCCCTCTTGGCCGCCCCCGAGAAGCCCCAAAAGCGTGTCGCCAGGGCCGCCGCCGCGACAAGCTAAGCAAAAGCTCCCGACCCCTCGACTCCCTCGCTGTAGAGCGGTCGCGCGTGCGAGCCGGGAAGCCCCAAAAGCGTGTCGCCAGGGCTGCCGCCGCGACAAGCTAAGCAAAAGCTCCCGACCCTGCGACTCCCTCGCTGCCGAGCGGTCACGCGTGCGAGCCGGGAAGCCCCAAATGCGTGTCGCCAGGGCCACCGCCGCGATAAGCTAAGCAAACGCTCCCGACCATGCGACTCCCTCGCTGCAGAGCGATCGCGCGTGCGAGCCGGGAGGCCCCAAGAGCATGTCGCCAGGGCTGCCGCCGCGACAAGCTAAGCAAAAGCTCCCGACCCCTCGACTCCCTCGCTGTAGAGCGATCGCGCGTACGAGCCCCGGGGCGCGGGCGGCCATCTGCAGAGAGGCCGTCGCCCCAGCGCCGCTGGACACCCGCGGGGGGCTGCCGCCGGCTGCGCGGGCCGAGCCCCCAGCGTCGGACGCAGCTCAGGAGGGGACAAAAACACACAGACACAACTAATCGTCGACGCCCCAGAAAATATGGGAGAATATGGGAAGTGGGGGGAAGGCAAAAAAAAAATATGGGAAAAATATGGGGAATATTTTTATTTGTGTGTGTTTATTTGTGTGTCCCAGGGCCCCTTCAGTAGCCGGGACCCCGGGTGAGGGGAGCCGGTCAGGGATTGGGCCCCGAAGCCCCAAAAGTCAAGCAGTGGCGAAGCGCCCCGGCTCGCCTATAGGCCTACCAGACAATGTTCTAAGAACCTTGTGTGGTTGCCACGAAGTGTTCTTAGAACATCTCTGGCTGGGACTGTCTTGTTTTCAGACATCGGGCTTATGCTCTAAGAACATTGCTGTTGCTCTTCGAACATTTTGGGGTTCTAAAGAACATTTCGTGGTAGGCCAATAGGAATGGCGGGACGGTCGGCCCCTGCTTAACCCAAAGTGAAGCGGAATCATTCAACCAGGTCTGCCACAGGTGGTGTTTCTTCGGGCCGCTACAGTTCCGGTTCGTGGAACGGGGCGGGGGAGAGGGGGGGCATCCCCCAGCACACATCACCAAATCAGGTCCCATTGAACGAGGAGGAGGAGGAGGAGGAGGAGGAGGAGGAGGAGGAGGAGGAGGGGGAGGAGGGGGAGGGGAAGGCGGAGGAGGAGGAGGAGGAGGAGGAGGAGGAGGAGGAGGAGGGGAGGAGGAGGAGGAGGAGCAGGAGGAGGAGGAGGAGGTGCTTTCGGAGGTCGAGCTTTCACTCCGAAGGAAGGCAGGTGCCAGGATGGAGGGCGAGGCATCCGGCATGGAGGCCGGGCCGCGGGACTCCCTTCTTTCAGAGCGTGAGTTACCTACCCCGCTTTCGCTTCCACGCAAAACCAAGTCACACCACGCGCCTCCTCGTCAAGCGGCCTAACCAGTGCAGGCCGTAGTTTGGCATCGCTTGGCACCTCTTGGAAGCGAGGGTGGTCAAAAGCGAGGTATGTCTGTTTGCCCCCTATTCTTCAGGAGGGGAAAAAACACACAGACACAATGAACCGTCCACTCCCAGGAAAATATGGGAAAATATGGGAAGTGGGGGGAAAGACAGAAATCCAGAACATGTGGGAAAATATGGGGACCATGTTTATTTGTGTGTACTTATTTGTGTGTCCTGGGGCCCCTTCCATTCTGGAGGGTGCCCAGACACCCAGCGCGCCCCGCACAGAAGCGACGCGGATGGTGTCGCTGCGTTTTCGGTTTCTTGGGGGCCCGTCTTGGACTGGGGCTCTGCGTGGAGAGCCATCCTCCTCCTCCTACTCCTCCTCCTCCTCCTACTCCTCCCTCCTCCCCCTCCTCCTCCTCCTCCTCCTCCTTCTCCTCCTTCTCCTCCTCCTCCTCATCCTCCTCCTCCTCCTCCTCCTCCCCCTCCTGGGAGAGGATCGGGACGTCTGGAGATCCTGCACTGAAGCAGAAAACACCCTGGCGAAGGGCCCAACCACATGCAGCTGCGAGTGCCGCGAGGCTGGTGGAGACTCCGGGGAAGTGGCTGGCAGAAGGACTGAGGCGCGCGTGGGGAGGGCGGAGCGACGTGGCTGGTGGGGTCGCAGAGGTCGGCCGTAACGGGTTACAGTTGGATGTAGCCCGTTATGGTTGATTTGCGCGTCTGTCGGCGCGGCCCGTGGGGGCAGCATACGGCGGGGCCTTCGGTGGCGCTCCTTGTGAGCCACGAAACGTGTGAGGAGTGTGGCGACATGGGTGCGGTCATGCATGCGAGTCCTGGCATTGGGGCCTTCGCTGGAGCTCCCGATGGGGCCACGAAACGTGGGAGAGGTGTGCCGACATGGGCGAGGTCACGCATGCGATCCCTCGGTGGAGCTCCCCATCGGGCCACGGAGCGTGTGAGGGGTGCGCCGAAATGAGGGGGTCACGCCTGCGATTCCTGGAACTGAGGCCTTCGGTGGAGCCCCCGTATGGGGCCACGAAACGTGTGAGGGATGCGCCGAAATGGCGTGGACCAGGCATGCGGACGCAGATGTTTTCAGCCTCAGGTGGAACTCCCTATTGGGCCACGAAGGTGTAATGCGTGCGCCGAAGTGGCGTGGACCAGGCATTCGGGCGCAGATTTTTTGGCATTAGGTGGAGCGCCCTATGGGGCCACGGAGCGTGTGAGGGGTGCGCCAAAAAATGGCGTGGACCAGGCATGCGGGCACAGAAGCTTGGGCCATAGGTGGAGCTCCCTAGGGGGACACAACACGTGTGAGGGGTGCGCCGACATGGCGTAGACCAGTCATGCGGGCGCAGATTTGTTAGGCTCAGGTGGAGCTCCCTATGGTGTCACGACACGTGTGAGGGTTTTTGGGCATCGGCAACATTGAGCCCTGAGCAGAATAACATGGTTTTGGCCGTCTTCGACCTCCAGGGGCATCTCGCTGGGCCCCAGGACCGCCAACAACGACTCACGATGAGCCACCTTCGCTGGGAAAAGGGTCGAGACTTCCGGGGACCCCGCAGCGAACAAACTCAAGACGCACATTCGGTCTCACTATCGATTTCACTATCGATATCACAATCGATCTCACAATCGACGTCGTCATCATCAACATATTCGTCATCAACGTCACCAACATCATCTTCATCATTATCGTCATAATCACCAGGACACCATCATCATCACCTCATCACCATCATCATCAACATCAGCATCATCAGCATCATCATCATCATTATCATCATCGGGACACCCTCATCGTCACCATCATCATCATCATCATCATCATCATCATCATCATCATCATCATCATCATCATCATCATCATCGGGACACCACCATCATCTTCGGAACACCACCATCATCATCCGGACACCATCATCATCGTCATCAGCAACATCATCATCATCAGCATCAGCAACATCATCATCATCATCGGGACACCATCATCATCGTCACAATCATCATCATCACCACCATCAGCATCATCATCGGGACACCATCATCATCAACATCAGCATCATCATCATCGGGCCACCATCAGCATTATCATCATCATCATCACTTCAGCATCATCCTCATCATCAACCGCATCATCATCGGGACACCATCACCGTCATCATCATCAAGATCCTCATCATCGGGACACCATCATCATCACCATCATCATCGTTAACGGCATCATCATCAACCTCACCATCATCGTCATCGGGACACCATCATCATCTTCAGCACCATCATCATCTCATCATCTCATATCATCAACATTATCAGGATCATCAACACCATCATCATCGGGACACCATCATCATCAGCATCATCAACATCATCATCAACATCAGCATCATCGCGACACCATCATCATCATCACAACCATCGCCATCATCATCAGCATCATCAGCATTACATCATCGTCATCATCATCATCAGCATCATCATCATCGGGACACCGACGGGACACCGGCGGGACACCAGCGGGACACCGCGGGCCACCGGCCCCCGGAAAGAAATCATCTGGTCCAGCCGCGCCTAAGCCGGAGGCGGGACACCGGCGGGACACCGCGGGCCACCGGCCCCCGGAAAGGAGTCATTTGGTCTGGCCGCGCCTCAGCCGGAGATTTTCTTCTCGCCCGCCCACGCAGCTTCGCCTCGCCCGCACGCACGGCACGCACGAACACGAAACCGAAACCGATTTCCCGGTAGGGGGGCTCTCCGTTCCACTACGATCTCACCCTCTCACCTCCGACAACGGCGATGCGGCTCGATGTGGCGGCCGATGTTCTCCAGGCCGACGGCGCCGATGCATCGCCGACGGCGCCGATGCATTGCCGACGTCGCCGATGCGTGGCCGATGCATCGGCGATGCGCCGACGATGCGGCTCGATCCTCGGACCCCATCTACTCGGACCCCATGCGGGAGGCTTAGAATCTGCTCCCCGGGACGTGCTCGCGCCTTGCAGATGTCAAGACGGCAGGTTTTTGGCCGGCTTCGGCCTCCGGGGTCCTCGCCAGGCCCTGGGACCAGCAAGGACCGACCCCTGATGAAACGCGGGCGCGAAAGCTGGGCCCTCCTATCCCATCTGTCGGGCCGGTGGTCATGGGGGGTTTAACCGACCCCTAGCGAACCGTCCCCTTCCGTGACGCCCCCCTCGCCTCGCCACAAGACGTATGTATGCGGCCGGAGGGAGGCTTGAACGGCGAGGATGACGCAACGGAAGGGGATGGCTTGCGAGGGGTTGGTGAGGCCGCGCCGGACACCACCCGCCCGAATTCGGGGGCAGCAGACCAAAGACCCAGACATGCGACGTCCTGAGTTTTTCAATACGGGCTCCCTGGAAGTTCCGACCCTCTCCCCGGGACCCGTTCTTCGGGGGCCACACGCGAACCCTACCCCTACCCCCCACGATTTCTGACGGGGTAGGGGTAGGGTTCGCATGTGGCCCCCTAGTTCTTCATCCCGAGTCGTTTTTCGACGGTCCCGAGTCCCCCCGCGAGGCCGCCCGGAGACCGAAGGTGGCCCAAAGCTTCCCGTCCTTTTTTTTTAGCGGCGCGATCATGTCCAGGCAGGAGCGCGACGCGCCTCAGTTCAGCTACGCGCAGAGGTGGGTGGGGGGAGGGGGGGGGGCTTCTTAGAAGCACCCCTGCTTCTTAGAAGCCACGGGCCTTCTCTATCGATGTAAGGCCGGCGCCTTCTAAGAAGCAGCCTCCTTCTAAGAAGCCCCCCCCCCTCCCCCCACCCCTTTGTGCGCGCCGCTAAACGCGCCTCAGTGGCCCCCTTGTCGCTCCTGGACATTTTCCTCGCGCCGGCTCGCGGGCCCGCACGGCGCCCGGCCGCGGTGGCGCGCCCTCGCCGGCGGCGGAGGCGAGCGGACGGTCCTCCGCAGCGCACCGCCGCGCCCGCTGGCCCCGAGATCTCGGCGCTGCAGGAGGGAAAGAAACGCACAGACACAATTAAGCGTCGACCCACCAGAAAACATAGGAAAATATGGGAAGTGGGGGGGAAGACAAAAACCCAGAAAATATGTGAAAATATAGAGAATCCTGTTATTTGTGTGTATTTATTTGTGTGTCCTGGGGCCCCTTCAATCTCTCGGACCACCGCAGGCATGGTCACGTCGTGGAAAAAGCAGGACGGGAGGTTTTGGCAATTTTCGGCTTCGGGGGCCCTCGCCATGCCTCGGGGCCGTCAAGAGCCGATTCGGGATGAAAAAAGCCCGTCCCGGGGAAAGGGTCGGGATTTGAAGGGGGCCCGTATTGAAAAAGAAACAAGATCGCATGTCTGGAACAGACGTTGTCGCACATTTGTTCGGCCCCCAGGTCCCTCACAGATGGGTCGGGCTCGACCAAAAAATGGTGCGGGAAAATGCGGTCCAGGGCTCCGGTCGTGTTTTTCCCAACCATCCTGTTGTGTTGTGTCCTCGTTTTGAAGAGACGGTCCACGCGTTCCTTCCTTTCCTTCCTTCCTCCTCCCCCTCCTCCCTCCTCCCAGCCCCGCCTCTGCCCTGCACATGTCCTCGTCGTCGTCGTCGTCATCATCATCATCATCATAATTTTCATCAGCATCATCATCATCATCATCATCATCATCACCACCACCACCACCAGCATCATCATCGTCATCGCCATGTCATCGCCATCATCATCATCATCATCATCATCATCAGCATCATCATCATCGTCATCATCATCATCATTATCATCATTATCATCATCATCATCATCATCATCATCATCAGCATCAGCATCAGCATCATCATCATCATCGACGTCATGAGCACCACCGTTATCGTCACCATCGTCGCCACCAATTTCGCCACACCCCTTACACGTTTCGTGGCCCCACAGGGAGCCCCATCGAAGGCCTCGATGGCGGTGTTCGCATGCGTCGGTCCCAGTGGCGGTGTTCGCATGCGTCTCCCACCCAGGACAGCGTAGTGTGGCCCCACAGGGAGTTCCACCCAAGGCCTCGGTGGCGGTGTTCGCATGAGTCTCCCCCACCCAGGACAGCGCTTCGCGGCCCCACAGGGAGCTCCACCTAAGGTCCCAGTGGCGGTGTTCGCATGCGTCTCCCACCCTGGTCAGCGTAGTGTGGCCCCACAGGGAGTTCCACCCAAGGCCTCGGTGGCGGTGTTCGCATGAGTCTCCCCCGCCCAGCACAGCGTTTCGTGGCCCCACACGGAGCTCCACCTAAGGTCCCAGTGGCGGTGTTCGCATGCGTCTCCCCCACCCAGGACAGCGTTTCGTGGCCCCACAGAGAGCTCCACCTACGGCGCGAACGGCGGTGTCCACATGCGTCCCCCCCACCCAGGACAGCGTTTCGTGGCCCCGCAGGGAGCTCCACCTCAGGCCTCGGTGGCGGTGTCCGGAGCTGCAGAGCCCTGCATGGCGTATTGCAAAGCAGGCACCGCCTCGTGGCCCGTAGAGGGAGACACCCTCACACATTTCACGCCCAACCCCATACGAAACCCCACCGGAGGTTATACACGCGATCGCGGTACCTACAGCTGAATATGGTCGGGTCCTTCGCCGGGATAATTGTTTTGCTTTGGCTTCCAATGTTATCTGCTTGTTTGCAGCGGCGGATCTCAGGGAGCATCTGCATCACACCGCCGCCGGCCTCTCCACCATCCCCTTGTTCGAGGACGCTCGAACGTGCTGGGGGGAATATCATTGCTGGGGCCATATTTCAAAAAGTTGTTTGCTTCCCCCTGGGCCGCGCACGTGCCTCGGGCCATGATCTGAGAACCCCACTCTTGAACGCCCCCCTCTGTGGACGCCCGCGACTTCCCAGATACCCGACGTTGTGAAACAATCCAGACGGGAGTTTTTGCTTGCCAGTTTCGGCATCTGGGGGCCCTCGCCAGGGCCCAGAACCGAAAAGAAGCGACCCCCGATGAGAAACGGGCCCCGCGGGGAAAGCATCGGGAATTCCTGTGACCCCGTATCCATCTCTGGGCTCGCTTCCGGGCAGCATCTCCAGATGACTTCCGACGGTAGGACTATTTCAAGCCCAGTGTCTTTCCTTGCTTTCGGCTTCTTGGGGCCCATGTGCGGTAGGCCCGCGTCATGTCCACCGGCGGCGACCTCGCCGACAGGGTTCAACATTGAACGGCGCCAGCGACCAAGAGTCGGTCAATGTTGAACGATCTGTCGTTTCGGACACGGCCGATCGTGGAGGTGTGAACGATCCCCGCGGTGTCAGAAGCCAACGCCGAAGTCGGCACAGCACGAACACCGGACCCGGGGCCAAATGGACCCGTGGGTCGAAGGGCTATCTCTGGGGGGGCGGGGCCCGGACCTCCACGGGGCTGTGGGCCGCAAGGCGCCACGTCGTCGGACGGCAGACTCCCGCCGCACTGGCCATGGCTTGAGATGGGGCGGGAGCGGGGCATGGGTCGAGGGCGAGGGGGGGGGAGCGAGGAGGAGAGGGAGGGAGAGGGGAGGAGGGAGTGGGAGAGGGGAGGAGTGGGAGAGGGGAGGAGGGGGAGGAGCGAGTGGCAGAGGAGAAGGGCGCAAGGAGGAGGCGGCAGGAGGGAGGAGGATGAGGAGGAGGCGGGGGGGCGAGGCAGGACGCGGGAGGACGCGGGGCTTCAATCAAACAAGTTGCGCAGCTCAAGCACTCCATTGCTGATCTGCCAGCTTCGATGTGCCTGGCGACAGGCCTTTCTGCAACCGACTCCCCAGGCCTCCACCGTCGCGATTTGTTTTACTGTTTGATAGCCAGGGCCTGGAAATGGCCTGCGGGCGCAAACACTGGCGAGTCGCCTGGAGGTCTGGGCTGCCTCCGAAGAATCGTCCCCCAGACCAATTCTGAATGGGGTGCGCCGTGGCCAGAACTTGGAGGCGGATCCAGCCGATGCCACGAGGAGGGCGCCCCAGGAGGCCCTGAAAGCCAGCTAACTAACATGCGAAGACCTTCGATTCCCGATCTCCAGATCTTTGATACGTTGTGCGCAGGAGTTTGGCCACGCGCAGAGGGGGGACAACAGTCGGACTGAGAGGTTCGGGGAGGGTACCCTAATGCTCTTCGTGTTTGTTGGATGCTTTTGTGCATCCTGTGGGAGGATACCCTCTAGTGATTTTGTTGGCTTGGGGTGTTTTTGCCAGCGGAGGGTCTCATGTTCTGGAGGGATGCTCTTCTGTCCTGGGTCCGACTGTACGTCGTTCGCAGGAGTTTCTCCATGCGTACGCGGGCCCCAGGGCTCTCGGCCCCAGTTCTGAGAATCGGCTTCTTTCTCCCAGGATCGGCGGTCTACGATGTTTATCTGGTGCGTTGACCCCTGGCCGGACCTCTCGATCGGCTGGGCATCGCTCGGACGTGTGCATTTTTCTCGGCGAGGACCATCGAGTCGAGGAGCATCTTGGCTCATGCCGCAAAAACACACGCGCAAAACCGACAAATGCACGTGGAACGGGCGTCCTAGCTAGCGATGGCAAGCCGGAGGAAAGAACGGGGACGCTACCACCACCAGGGGTGCCACCTCCAGCGAGGAGGTCCACAACGCCTCCCCGAGCTCGAGCCAGGGGATGTCTCGAGCAGGGGGGGGGGGCAGGGGCACACCACCAGGAGGACCCCCCCTGGTTTCCCAAGCTGATGGGGGTTGTGTTGCTCTTCGTGGATCCTACAGTGCCGTTTTTAGTACATGCTCCTCGTGCGGATCATGAATTAAAGATACAGGGATTTAGTATTAACAACAACGATGAGCTCATGCATAAGCGTATGCAAAAATTAGCCATGTATCAAAATTCTACATGTTGAAAACAAATCCTATGTATTAGAAACTGCCCTGTACCTCGACGCCTTTCCCAAAGGCGGACTCTGTCCGTCCCCCGGCCGTCCTCGGCGGGGCCCCGCGGCCCGCCGAGGGCCTCCCCCGCGAGTGTTCGAGCCACGCCGACGGACCGGCCGCCCCGCTCCGCTCGGGGCGGCCGGCTGTCTGGGGTCCCCCTTTCCCTCCCTCTCGCGCCCCTCCCTCCCCTCCCTCCCTCCCTCCCTCTCACGCCCCTCCCCCTCCCACTCTGACGCCCCTCCCTCCCTCTCACGCCCCTCCCTCCCTCTCACGCCCCTCCCCCGTCCTTCCCCCACCCCCAGCTGGCCTCCTCCCCATCCGATCGCCCCTCTCACGCCCCTCCCCCTTCCTTCTCAGGAGGGGAAGAAACACACAGACACAATGAGTCGTCGATTCCCCCGAAGATATGGAAGATATGGGAAGTGGGGGGGAAGACAGAAAAACCCAGAAAATATAAGAAAATATGGGGAATCTGGTTATTTGTGTCTATTTATTTGCGTGTCCCAGTTCCCCTTCACCTTCCCCCATCCCCAGCTGGCCTCCTCCCCATCCGATTGCCCCTCCCCCGAACATCCACCTGACCGTCCAGGAGGGATGAAAACTAACACCAGGACCTTGGAGCTTGAACTCCTGACGAGTTCCAGGCCTCCCAAATTGGTTATGAGTAGTTGTGGTTTGTGGATCACGCCGCATCGCCGATGCATCGGTAATGCGGCTCGATGTGGATCCTGATATTCTCAACGCGGGCGTCGCCGACGCAACGCCGACCTCGCCGACGCATCGCTGGTGCATCGGCGACGCATGAGGATTTGGCAGGATCCTCCGATCCCATCTCTTCGGACCCCACTTGGGACAGACAGACAGACAGGCAGACAGAGAGACAGACAGACAGACAGGCAGACAGGCAGGCAGGCAGGCAGACAGAGACAGAGACAGAGACAGACACACAGACAGACAGACAGACAGGTAGACAGACAGACAGACAGCAGCCAGGCGCTGAACGCGTTCCGATTCTCAGCGCTCTGGAAGGCCTCCCTCGGGGGGGGGCCCCACTTCTCTAGCACTCTGGAAAGTCAGGGCCCTTTCTCAGGCAGACAGGCCGCCGAGCGGGCGACGCGCTCGAGGTCAGGGCCCTCCTCCTCCTCCTCCTCCTCTCCTCCTCCTCCTCCTCCTCCTCCTCCTCCTCCTCCTCCCCCTCCTCCTCCTCCTCCTCCTCCTCCTCCTCCTCCTCCTCCTCCTCCTCCTCCTCCTCCTCCTCCTCCTCCTCCTCCTCCTCCCCCTCCTCCTCCTCCTCCTCCTCCTTCCCCTCCTCGGTTTTCGAGGAGAGGGGAGGGGCAGCGCCGCCAGCGGCAGGGACCCGGCACCCGCGCCGCCCCCTCTGGGCCGCGCGTCCGCGCCGCCCCCCCCACCCCCCCGGGCCGGAGACGGCCCGAGAGCGCGCCGGCGGAGATGGGCGACGACGACTTCCAGGACAGAGGTTCGGGGGCGGCAGAGAGGGTCACTACCCACCAAACCACCCCAACCCAACCCGAAGGCTCAGATTTACCCTCGATTTCCAGTGGGGGGGGGTCGGGAAACATCGAAGAAGCACATGTGGAACCCCTACCCCCCCAACCCGAAATTCGGGTCTTCGGGTTGGGTTGGGGTGGTCTGGAAGGCAGTCAGAGGGGGGGGGGGACCAGGGGAGGGTGGATCTCGTGGCGTGGGCCATGATATATTTCCTCAGATATTTCGTGGCGCCTCTTCGTATCTCATGACGCTCCTGCCCCCCCCCCGGGCCGCGCACATGCCGCCTGCCATGAGCTGCGCCCTTCCCTCTTGGACGCCCCCCTTTTGGCCGCCCCCGAACAGGGGTCATATGCGGTTCCAAAAGAGGCCTCAAGGGAAAGGACTCGTGAGACGGGCAATGCCGATTTCCTAAGTCCGCTCGGCTTCGACCGCAAGGTCGTTGCGGGAGGCTTTCGCTCGCTTTTCGAACTCTCAAATGCAAAGCCGCGGTCTCAGAAGTCCCTCCCGCTGGCGTCCCTTTAGAAACGCATCAGGAGGTCGGCTGCACGTAAGAGTGACCTCTCGGTGGAGTGACCTCTGGTACATGCCATTCGGGGGCGCGTAATGGATGGGCGTTAGATTGGGGGCATCGGGGATGGACAGACCCCCCTTTAGTAAAACGTGGTTTAGTGAAAACGACCTGAGGCCCAAACCTGGCGGGCGCAAGCCTGGAAAATAACGGCCACGGCGCCCTCTCGAGAACCGAAATGGACAATTCGCTTATCGACGTGTCACTGTTGGGGGTTCTGTCCATCCCCGAGGGCAGCGAGGGCAGCAGAAAAGGGGCCCTTTAGGCCTCCTAAAGAAGCCATTCAAAAGTGCACCTGTCTTCCCCCCCAATCTATCGCCCCCCCAAATGGAGGATGACGATTAATCAATGACCGGGGGTCGTGTTCACGCAGCGGCGCCCGGGATGACGATTAGAAAAAATTGGCCGCAGGCTGGAAATCTATTTTTTTATCGTTCTCCTCCAGTCAGAAAAGTATGCAGAAATAGCAGAAAACTAAAATTTAAATCATTCTCTCTCATTTGTTTAATAATCGTCACCCGCATTATTGAGCGTTGCCCAATGCTCACACGGGTCCCCCCCGGGGCACCTGACCTGCGCGCTTGGACAGGCCGACCCGCCCGCGGCACCCTGCCGCCGCGCACCAAAAAAGTCACTCTTGCCTAGGGGGTCACTCCCTGCGCGTGCTCGAAGTGGGATGGACGAGGGACAGAGGAATGGACCTGGCATCGCTCGGACGTTTGCATTTTTCCTTCGGCGAGGGCCATCGAGGAGCATCCTTGATCATCTGGCGAACAAACCACGCACGAAGCCGAAACAAAACACAGGGAATCAACGTCCGAGCGATGGCGAGTGGAGGAGAAGGAGGTTCTGAAGGTAGGAACAGGTTGTGGTGCAAAGGGGTGCGGTGCCACTGCTGAACCTGGCGATGCTATCGACCGTCGATGACAGCTCCATGTTCCACGATTGGCACCACACCCCTGTACGCCATACCCCTTTCCCGACCTCCAGAGGTATATGGGGGAGGGAAGTTGTGCAGGGGAGGAATTGAGGAGGTATATGGGTGATGCAGGACCAGGGATGGAGGGATATTGGGGAGGGAAGGTTTGCAGGAGAGGAGGAGAATAGAGGCGGGGAGAAGGGATGAAGGAGGCGTAAGAGGAGGGGAAGGTGGGATGGAGTCCAGGAGGAGGAATGGAGGATGAGGAGAAGTATGGTTGGAGCAGGAGAGGGAGTCGGGACTAGAGCGGATACGGAGCGGAGTGGCCATGTACATTTAGGGCTGACCCAGCATGTCCGTGGCCTCGAACACCCCCCCCATCGCTGGTCTCCCTGCTGTGGCTGCAGACGTGGGGCTCCCTGCTGCAGAGCTCCTGGTCGACCTGCCCCTCCCGCATGTACAGTGCAGGCTCGGAGCCCGAAGCCCGCGGGGCGGTGGCTGCCCCTGCAGCCGCCACCTCCCCGTCCTGCACGCGCTCCTCCGAGCGATGAGGAGGAGGAGGAGGGGGAGGAGGAGGAGGAGGAGGAGGAGGAGGAGGAGGAGGAGGAGGAGGAGAAGGAGAGGGAGGAGGAGGAGGAGGAGGAGGAGGAGGAGGAGGAGGAGGAGGAGGGAGCCGGGCACACGCGACGTGACCGGCCAGGGCGAGAGCTGGGTGCTCGTGTGGGTCGGGGGCGGAAAAGAGGGGGGCGACGACTAGGGGGGGGTGGATCTCATGGCGGGGGTCATGGTATTTCCCCAGATTTCGTGGCGCCTCTTCTTATTTCATCACGTCCCTGGCCCCCCCGCTGGGCCGCGCACATGCCGCCGGTCATGAATTGCACCCCCCCCCTCTTGGACACCCCCCTCTTGGCCGCTCCCGAGTGGGCGCATGGTCTTCCAGTGCTCATCCCTTGTGTGGGCAGGTGCGCCGTGTTTCTGCACGTGTATTCAGCGTTTTGCCCGTGGATGTTCGAATGTGAATCCAGCCGCGTGCGCTTCCAGCATCCTGGTGGCATCTGGCTTTGCTTCCCGCCACTACACTGGATCCCTTATTGATCGACCCCCCCTGAAAGACCGACCTCTCCTGTGCGACCTAATTTTCTGGACCCCGTCTCCGCAGGGGGCGTCTTGGCATTCCGGACCTCGCCAACAGCAGTGCGAGCGTGATCGTTTATGGTTGTGGTCACGTTGGTGATGACAGTGCCCATGAGTAGACGGTGTTGCGAACGTAGAGGTTGGACCACGATGTTGAGCAACATGATGGGCGCATGAGCTGTCCATGCCCCCCCCCCCAGTGTTTGCTCGGCGCAGGGAACCCAAGGGGGCGCTAATGGCCCGACCAAGTACCAGCAGGCCAGAAAGTGTGGGGAACCCCACGCGAGTCGAAAACCCACGGGGTGCTAAAGGCCACGGCGCGCGTGCCCTAATAATCTGGACCCCCTCTGAAAGTCGGCTTCAAGAGACATCCCAACAAACTGGACCCCACTCTTGGCATCGCTCGGACGTGTGCATTTTTTCTCGGCGAGAACCATCGAGGACCATCCTGGACCATCGAGAAAAAAAGCAATCACGAAACCGGAAAAAAACACAGGGAATGGACGTCCGAGCGACGGGGAGCACTGCCACCCCCAAATGAGCCTTGAAAAACCAGAACCGGGGCACGACTAGTACCAGATCGGGAGTGCCCGTCTTTCTCGAACGTTCCAGCAGCGTTCGCCCATCATCAAAGCACACACAGAGAGAGCGATTCACCAACGAACGACGGACCGCGCTCAGAGTTCTGTGCTTGCGCACGCACTCTTGCGACCCAAAATATAAGCAAAAGGATAACGATGGCGCCCTCCCCAAGGGCGAGGAGGTGGGGCCCGCCGCGGAGGAGGACGAGGCGAGGCCCGTCCTCCTCTAATATGTTTGGCTTTCTCTCAGCGGTTGACGACCTGGACGTCTCCCGCCAGCGTCTTATATGATCGCCCTCCGCGAGGGCAAGTGGAGGTCTGGAGAAAACGCGATCGGGATTCAGGGGCCCCGCCAACGCCTTCGGATACGAGCCAAGGGTGGGGGGGACGAGGGGGGGGGGGAAGAGGGGGAGACATAGGAGGAGCAAGGCAAGCCCCTCGCGGGACCATGCGGCTTCGACCTGCGTGCCGGCCAGGCCCTCCGCCACGCACTGGGAGAGGCCGCACTGGCCGCACGCTCCATCTGTCTTTCCCTGGTGCAGCCAGCAGCAGTCGGCGCCACGGTACAACAGCCGGCCTCCACCTGGCGCTTCTCAGCGGGCGCGCAGGCCCGGGAGCTTGAGCCAGAACATGGCTGTGGCGGCGATGGCGCCATTGTGCTTGCGGGCCTCCGCTCCGCCGCGCTCCCTTCGGAGAGGCGCGCGCCCGGCCATCCCCAGAGCCGGAGTAAGGGCAGTGTCGGGGGTGGACAGAACCCCCAACAGTGACACGTCGATAAGCGAATTGTCCGTTTTCGGTTCTCGAGAGGGCGCCGTGGCCGTGATTTTCCAGGCTTGCGCCCGCCAGGTTTGGGCCTCAGGTCGTTTTCACTGAACCACGTTTTACTAAAGGGGGGTCTGTCCATCCCCGAATCGCCCCCCCCTATTGAGCGTTGCCCAATGCTCACGCGGGTCCCGTAGGGGGACACGCCCGACCGAACACCAGGAGGACCGCCCCCGTCTCCTCGCGCTGGTGGTGGCGGGGTCGCCTTTCCCAGACATCTGCCGAGGTCCCAGCCGCTTCCCAGGGGGGTAGCTTTGCGTCCCGGATCCGTGCCTGAAGGTACCCCGGGGCCCGAGAGCGGCTTCCGAGGGCCGCAGCCTGGGAACGAAAGCGCCATCTGCAGAAGCCATGCCATCGGAGAGATATCTTCCCTGCTTCTGCAGCGCTGTGCGAATGATTTGCGAATCATGCACGTACACCGTACCGGCCTTACCGGCCATTACGAGTGCAAGTCGGCAGCAGTGTCACATTGTTTTGACCGTCTGTTTATCCGGAATCTGCGAGAGTCTGTGAGCCAATCGTGCTCTCTTCGATCCCTTGCCGAGGCGCCGTTGCCTGCCGCATGGCTTGGCTGAATGCACGGCAGCTCCTGCAGCCGAGACCCCGCCCGGCGAGCGCCGATGGCCGATCGCACGCCAGGAGTTGCAGCGCACGCTGCGCCAGTCGCTGGAGCGCGCCGAGTCCGCCATCGACCGCCAGGCCGCGGACGCGAAGAACATCCGGAGGACCGCCCACGGGACGGGCGGGGGCCAGGGGGCAGGAGGGCCGGAGGCGAAGAGGGCCCCAGCTGGCAAGGCCTCGGGCTGCGCACAGACGGTCCCCCCCCAGGTAGTCGCGGCCAGCATCAGCAGCCCCTCCGAGTAGTTCCAGCTGGCCTGGCCAGGCCCCCCGAGCAGTCGGGGGTGGTCTCAACTCCTCGGCAGCGCCTCCGAAAGGCGCCTCCGAAAGGCGCCTCCGAGGCGCTCCGCGCCTCGGGCTGGAGGTGTTGAGACCGCCCCCGATCATTCGGGGGGAGCTGCTGAGGCCAGCTGGGAGTACTCGCGGGGCCTGTCGAGGCCCGCCGGGACGCACCCGGGGGACTGTCTGTGCACAACCCGAGGCCCTACCAGTCCAAGCCATGCCAAGGCGAGTAGCGAGCTGCCTTCTTCGGTGCTCGCGTGGGCGGTGCGGCCGCAGTTTTGGCGGGCCTGCGCCAGCTGGGTCTCGCCCTCGGCTGTTGTCACAAAAGGGTCTTTGGCTGAAGGGGTTTCTGCCCCCTTCCCCGGTGGGAGGGCACTGCTCTAAGGCTTCCCTGATGTGGCAAGACAGCAGCTCCATTCTTGATGGCCCCGTGCCCCGACAGCAGCCTTTCGAGGCCGAGATGAAGGGAAACAGCTGGGGTTCATACGAGCTATATCGTCGGCCGTCTGGGGCCCTTTGATCACCCGAGGAAGCTGACGCCGACAGGACCGACGGGACCGACGACCCTTGGATGGGGGCCTGAGCAGATGGGGTCGAAGGATCTCCCCGCATTGCCGATGCATAGGCGATGCGGCGCGATACGGAGCCAAGTTTTCTCCACGCCGACGCCGCCGATACCTTGTCGTGGCGACGCGATCCTACGACCCCAGCTTCTCGGATCCCACTGGGGAGGCCTCTAGACAGGGGCTGTGCAGGTTGCGCATTGTGGCGCTCGATCTCCTTCAGCTCCTTCTGGTGCTCCTCCTCCTCCTCCTCCTCCTCCTCCTCCTCCTCCTCCTCCTCCTCCTCCTCCTCCTCCTCCTCCTCCTCCTCCTCCTCCTCCTCCCTCTCTGGACAGCTGGCGCCTCGAAGCAGCCGTGGCGGCCAGTTTGCCGCCGTCGCCAGCGTCTTTGGCCTCTGGAGGCCGGACTCGGGCCTCGGGGCCGTCAAACATTGACTTGGGGTGAAAGGGGTGAAGGGGTCGATCGTGGCCAAATCCGCTGACATGGGGACGCAGCCTCCTCCTCCTCCTCCTCCTCCTCCTCCTCCTCCTCTTCCTCCTCCTCCTCCTCCTCCTCCTCCTCCTCCTCCTCCTCCTCCTCCTCTTCGATGGGGTCGGAGGATAGCACCGCATCGCCAATGCATCGCCGATGCGGCTCGATGTGGAGTGCGATTTTCTTCGCGCCGCTGGCGCCGATGCATCGCCGACGTCGCCGATGCATTGCAGACGAATCTGCGCCGGCCTGCCCCAGCCGCGGCACGCCTGCGGCGTCGCAGGGGGGGAATCGTTTTTTGCCTCCCCTCGCCCCCTTTCCTCCTCTCCTCCCTCGCCCCGCCCCCTCTTCCCCTCCTCCCTCGCCCCCCCTCCCTCCCCTCCTCCCTCGCCCCCCCCCCTTCCCCTCCTCCCTTCTCCTCCTCGTGGTTGCGGGGCGAGGCGTTCGGCCTCCAGGTGCGGCTAGCGCGCCAGAGCGTTGGCGCCGTGCCGTCCGCGCGGGTCGTGCGTGGAGGCCCGCAGGTCGCGCCGGCTTCGGAGCGGCCAGCCACCCTCTCCCACCTGTGAAGTTCACCGCGTTGAGTCGTTGGGCTTCATGCTCATTTCCAGCCTCACCCTGTCACTCAGGGTATAGACCGTAAATGTGCACTGCCATCTGGAAGACCATCAGAATCTGTCCTGGTGCCTTGCTTTCCTCCTCCCCCTCCTCGCCGTCTTCATCCTTCCTTCTTTTCCCTCGCAAAAACAAACAGTTCACTGTGCCCCACCGTGTGGCTGCACCAAAAAAGATGAACGATGATTGTGGCCAATCCCAGATGACACCAAGCCAACGAGGAAACTAAAGATGAGGAAGAAAATTACGTTCATTTTCAGTCATTGCCAGAGAATCATAAGAGGGAGCATCGGACGTAGGTGATGGTCAGCCTCTTTGCCTTGTGGTGGGATGATGGCTCCCCTTGCCAGGGAACAATACGAGGAAGAAGCTGACGTTGATGAGATTCAGCCTCTTTGCCATGTTGTGAGATGATGGTCCCTCCTCCTTAGGGATCCCCCCATCCGCCTCCTCCTCCTCTTCCTCCTCCTCCTCCTCCTCCTCCTCCTCCTCCTCCTCCTCTGCTCTACCTCCGACTTCCCTGGGCAGCAGAGGAGCCGCCACCTCCTCCTTCTCCTCCACTTCCTCCTCTGCTCTACTTCCGCGTCCCCTGGGCAGCGGCGGCGCGTGGCCGTCGTGCGCGGTGCGTGGGTGACCGTGTGGCTGTGGTGCATGGCCGTGGCGAGCCTCGGTTTCCGCCCGCCCTGCCCTTCCTGCCCGAGCGGCTTGAGGACTTTGCGTTGTTTCCCCCTTCGTGCGTGCCCGGCTGTGCTTGCACAGGTTGTGCCTAGTGCAGGCCGCCGTTCGGCCGCTTCGGGCATATCGTGTTCTTCTCCCCTTACCCATCCCTTGCGTTCTCTCCTTCTCGCTCGGTCCTCTCTTTCCGCATGCGGCACGCTCGCTTATCCTCCAGGCCACGGTTCATCGCATGTGTTGTTGTTTGTCGCAGGTAGGCTCGCGTGGTGTCCCTGGTTTGTTTGGCGACCTTTTGATTCGCACTGCGGTCGAGGCCGAATATGGTGAAGCTTTGTGCGCCCGCTCCGTCCTCCTTCTCCCGAAAGTACCAGTTACTCCGACGGTAGGACTCCACATGAGAACCAATGTAGCTTGCCCCTTGCCCTTTTCTTCTGCAACTGGCGGAGGCCTTCCTTCCGCCCTCTGCGTCGTCCTCCCCCTCCTCCTCCTCCTCCTCCTCCTCCTCCTCCTCCTCCTCCTCCTCCTCCTCCTTCTCGTCCTACTCGTTGCAGGTGTGATCCTCTTCTTCTTCTTCCTCCTCCTCCTCCTCCTCTTCCTCCTCCTCCGCCTTTTCCTCCTCCCTCTCCTCCTCGCGTTCCTCCTCCTCCTCCGCCTCCTCCTCCTCCTCGCCCTTTTCCTCCTCCTCCTCCTTCTCCTCCGCCCCCCCGCCCGCTCTTCTCTCTTTATCTCCTTTCTCCTGGCACGAGCGCGCATGTCGATTTTCCTCGGCGTCTTCGCCGCCTCGGCCATCACGGGCGCACCCACGTCGCGCAGCCGTTGGGACAACCCCGCGGGACAGGCCGTCGGGGCAACCCCGGCTCACGCAGTTGACGAGGCCAAGGGCTCTCGCCGTCGACTGATTGATAACCAACTGTGCAGCCAGAGGCCCGCGCAGCTGACGATGCCAGAGGCTCCCTGCGTACACAAATATGTAAAAAAAGCGTGCGTTGTCAGAGGTGCACGCAATTGACGAGGCCAGGGGCTCTCGCCGTCGACTGAGTGATAACCAACTGTGCGGCCAGAGGCTCGCACAGCTGACGAGGCCAGAGGCTCTCGCCGATGCTGGCTGGATCATACAGGAGTCGTCCGCGGCCAGAGGCTCGCATACCTGACGAGGCCAAAGGCAAAGCCAATGTGATGACAGGTACATATTTCCAATGACCCGCTCGGATTCGTAACATGACCTGCGGGTCCCATAGGGAGAGAGCTCTCGCCTGAGACGTCCTCGCAATTCAGTCACAGTCGAGGCTCCCGCCTCATACCTCCTCCATACGCAAGCCTGAGGACGCCAAAAGTGACGACAGTTGCAGGATTCCGATGACCCGCCTCGGATTAAAAACATAAGTTGCAGGCCCCATTGGGAGGGGGCTCCCGCCTGAGACGTCCTCGCAAGTCACGCACAGACGAGGCTCTTGCTGGATGCTTCCTTCAGATTCAAGCCTTACGAGCCCAAAATTGATTACAGTTGCAGGATTCCGATGACCAGCCTCGGATTAAAAACGTTAGCTGCGGGCCACATAGGGAGGGGGCTCCCGCTTGAGAATTCCTCGCATATCATGCGCAGACGAGGCTCCCGCCTGAGACTTCCTCCGTATGCGGGCCTCAGGGGCCCAAAAGTGACAACGGTTGCAGGATTCCGATGGCCCGCCTCGGGTTAAAAAGTGAGTTGCGGGTCCTATAGGAAGGGGGCTCCTGCTTGAGATTTCCTCGCAATTCGAGCACAGACGAGGTTCCCGCACCATACTTCCTGCATAGTCAGGCCTCAGGGGCCCAAAAGTTACGACGGTGGCAGGATTCCGATGACCAGCTTCGGATTAAAAACATGAGCTGCGGGCCCCATAGGGAGGGAGCTCCCGCCTGAGACTGCTTCGCAATTCACTCGCAGACGAGACTCCCGCCGGATATTTCCTCCATGTTCAAGCGTCAGGGACCCAAAAGTGGCGACAGGTACTGTATAGGTTTCCGATGGCCCCCTCTTCTTAGTAACATGAGCTGCTGGCTCCCGCGTGAAATGAGTGAGTGAGTCACTGACTGACTGACTGAGTGAGCGAAGATGATGATGGTGACAGTGATGATGATTATGGTGATGGTGATGATGATGATAATGATGATGATGGTGATGATGATGGTGATGATGATGATGATGATGATGATGATGATGATGATGATGATGATGATGATGATGATGATGATGATGATGATGATGATGAGAGTGTGAGTGAGGGAATGAGCGAGTAGGTGGGTGAGTGACTAAGTGAGTGCGTGAGTGAGTGTTGATGATGAGTGTGTGAGTGAGTGCTTGAGTGGGTGAGTGAGTGGGTGAGTGAGTGAGTGTGAGTGGTGATGTGTGCGAGTGATTGAGTGAATGAGCGTGCGATTAGAGAAGAGGAGAGGGTGTGCTCTTTCCTGCGCGGGGGGTGTGCAGAGAAATCAAGAACTCCACTCAGGATGTGGGGAATAACACCCGAGGCTCAGCATAGGCAGAGGTCGACATCGGATGGACCCTCAGTGGGAACCCATCCAGACGCAAGGTGCGCGGCGCTCGCGACGTGCGCCACGTGTGCCAGGCGCGCCACGCGCACTGGGTGTGCCAGGTGCCCCTGAGGCCCCAGCGTGCCATTGCGCGCCGGATGCGCCACGTGCTCTATGTGCGCCAGAGGGCTGGACCTAAACGGTGTTTCGGTCATCTCGCGTGGGCCGTGCTGTTTTTCCTGCTGTGTTGCGCTCAAGGCGAATCGGGGTTGGACAGACCTCCTACCCTGACATGTCGATTGAGGAATTGGCCGTTTTCGGTTCGCGAGAGGGCGTCGCGGCCGTCATTTTTGCGGGTCCAGGTCCGTCGGTTTCGGTCCCAGGCCGTTTTCACTAAGGGGAGGTTTACTAAAGGGAGGTGTGTCCAACGCCGAGCGAAGCGAAGGGAAAGCGAGGAAGACGGAACAACAAAACGAAAGCGAAACACCGCGTTTGAGGTTCAGCCCTGGTGCGCCGACTGTGCCACATGCTGCATGCTCCCGCCGCGTCGGGTGCGGCAGGCGCGCGCCGCGCACCGAGTGCGCCAGCGCACGCGTCAGCACGCCAGCAATCGTTGCACATTGGAGGCAGGGTTGTTCCCTACCTAGGCTCTGCCTAGAAGGGTTCTTACTCGGTATGCTTAAAGGGCCGGGCAGTGCAACTCGCCCCGGGCGGTTCCCCCAGTATCCGCCCCGCGGTTCCCCCAGTGACGTTCCCTTAGCTTGGCGTTGCTTATCTCATCTTAGCTTTGCTTATCTCATCTTAGCTTAGCTCCGCCATAGCTTAACTTAGCTTCATATAGATGTTGCTTTCCTAGATCCTCCAACTCCTAGGTAGGGTCGCACTGGGATAATTTTCACAATCGGTGCTTCAATCTTTTATTGTTCCAACAGCGGTGCTCGCGCTGCTGCGCTGGGCCACGTTCTAGCATCGGCGGCTGTGCTCCTGCCGTTCAGAGTGGCGATCTCGCCCCAGCGCGGGCCACACTGTTCGTGCTGGATCCGATTCCCTCCTCGTCGTGGTCGTCCCCCTCTTCCCCCTCCTCTGCCCTCCCGTCGTCGTCCTGCTCCTCCGTATCTTCCTCCTGCTCCTCCGCCTCCCCCTCGTCCCCCACTGTGCAAAGCCCCCCCTTCCGAAGGCACAGCAAGCCAGTCAAATCATGCCACTGTCATCTGGGCATACCAGACACTCAATCGGCGGGGATGGCTGGGAGGCAGGCAGGATGCCATCTGTGACTATGTGGCGCGGGTGAGCCGACCATGGAGCTGCACACACACACACACACACACACGACGCGGCCTGCCTGGGCGACAGCTGGCCAGACTTCCTTCCCGCGCTCGGCCATTCTGTGAACGGGTGTGCGGGGCTTCCGCACGTGACCCCATCGCGTGGCCTCCGGAGGCTCCGCGTGCAGACCCAGCCGCGTCCGTTTCCAGCCTCCTGGCAGCTCGCCTCTCTTAGACTCCCGTCTCCCCCCTCCTCTGCCTGCCTCTTCGCGCCCTCGGCGCCTCGCGCGGAACCGCAGCGGCATGGACTCCGACCTGAAGGCTCTCACCGACGAGCTGCAGCAGCTGGTGCAGGAGAGGCAAGGCGTTCGCGAGCAGATCGAGGACCGTCAGATCTGGCGCCGCGCTTGCTTTTCACCTTCCCAGGCGAGGATCGAGAATCGGGGTTTGTGACGTTCTTGGACGTTCTTGGTCTTCTGGGGGGCTTCCTTGTGACGTTCTTGAACGTTCTTGGTCTTTGGACGTTCTTGGTCTTCTTGTGTTGCCGAGGCTCTTGGACGTTCTTGGTCTTCTGGGGGGCCTCATATGGGGCGCCCTCGTCGCCACGGCTGGCTCCGCTGCACAAAGTTCTGGTCAGCACTCGCCTCTGGGCATGTCCCGGGGGCGATCTGTGGAGGGGCATCCAGATGTTTCCTCTGGAATAGCTTGGCATCGCTCGGACGTGTGCATCGTTTTTCGGCGTGGACCATCGAGGACCCTACTGGACCATCTCGAGCAACAACAAACAAAAAAAACACGCACGAAGCCGAAAAAAACAACACAGGGAAGGGACGTCCGAGCGACGGGGAGACTGACAGTGACCGCCCGGGTTGTTCCCTCTTCCTCGGACCTCCGGAGGCCCGCCGCGGGCCCCCGGGGGGGCTGTCACGAGCACCCTTGCGAAGCGGGCGCGCGGGTCCTGCGGCAGGGGTCGGAAACGGAATCGGAACAGACGCGAAGCGTCACAGCACATTTTTTTTTGGTCGGCGGGGCGAGAGCGAACCTCTTCCGCTGAAAGCTGGGCGGGCTACGCGCAGCTCTACTTGGGGAGACAGGGCACAGGCGGGCGGGGCCTCAGGCGGCCGGAGAGGGCGGGGCCTGGGGTGCAGCGTCACAACACACACTAAGCCTTGGGATTCCAACCTCTGTGCAGCCTGTCGAGGTATTCCCTCCTCTCGGGGGTCAACCTCACGGGGAGGGGTCGAGACGCACCAGTGGGAGACGGCATACGGCTGGTCCGGAAGAACGAGAGGGGGGCGAGGGACCAGGGGTGATGCTCCCCCCCCCCCTGGCTACGAAAGGTCGTGACGTCGGAGGGGTGGGTCTCCTGCTCTGGGGCGGGAGTGTCCCTGGCATCCGGGCGAGTCCTGGAGAACCACGGCGGGCGTCTCTGCCAGGTTTTGGGACCCTCGGGGCCCATGCGGATCGGCCTGGTTCGATCGAGGAGCACCCCAGTGGCGGGATAGGGAGCTGCAGTCGTGAGTTATGTTTCTACCACGTGTTTCGGTGTTGTTCCTTGGGTCTCCAGGGAGGAGGGGCCATCTCATTCTCCCCGTTCCTCCTGTTCCCAAGCTCCTGGCTCATCTTCATCTCTCCTTCTCCCTGCTTCCCCCCTGCCTCCTCCTGTCTTCTCCTCCTCCTCCTCCTCCTCCTCCTCCTCCTCCTGCCTCGTCCTCCTCATCATCATCCACCTTCTCATCATACCGTGGGGGGTGAGAAAGGTGCACAGGAGGCGTCAGACCCTGGAGGATTCTTCCTATGATGAGGGCGGCGATGATATCCATAGCAGGTCCACGATTGGAGTCCTTTCTCCACCGTGTTCAGCCAGTCGCGTCGATTCCAGGGTGCACGGTGATCGGGATGATTGCAGACAGCACGTCTTGGCCAAGAGACGGCACGCTTCGGCTAAAGAGGAAAGAGGGAGAGTTGTGTCCTGCCTCTGGCGGCCCTTGCATCAGCATCAGTATCATTCAGTATCCGGCCCCTGCCCACACAAGCTGTGCTGCTGCCAAACGGCACTGCGCCTGTCGATTGCGGTCACGGCTTCCCGAGGACGCTGCTTGATCAGTCTGCATCATTGGGCGCGTTCCAATACTCGCGAAGCGCCTACTCGCAAGCGGACGAAAAAGCACATGTTCGCCTCGACACAATAGATCGTAGATCCCCCGCGGCGGATCCAGGCCATTTGCGAGATGTTGCTGTGCGAATCGCGGAACGCGCTCGTCTACTGCAGGCGCGCTGAAGACATTTGCGGCCTCCTGGGGTGGCCTCGTCGCCAGGTCCGGGCCAGAGCGTGCCCCAGGACAGGGCGGGGCAGACCTCGCAGGAGGGAGGGCCCAGGCAGGCAAGAGAGCTCGCGGTTACACGTCGGTCGTTCAAAGTATGTATTTGAGGATCTCCAGATCCCAATCTACTTTAGTCACCTTCCTAACCTACTTCGAGAGCCCATAGGCTTTTGCTGTAATTTTGACATCTCTGGGAAGGCCTGCGCCCAATCTACGTTGTCTGCCCTCCTGCTTCGTGCTTTTGCCTACTCCTTCCGATCGACGTGTGCCCCCCGCACGGGGACGAGGAGGTGGAGGACGGATGACGAGGACGAGGGGGGGTGGCTCGTGACAGGGCCTGCCAGGTCCAGACTGCTGGGACTGGGCAGGCTCCCATGGCCAAGAGGCCAGCGCACTGCGGAGCCATGGCCTCTCGAGGCAGGGGCGGCGGTGTGGTGGCAGCTCGTGGCGGCGGGGCCCTCTTGCTAGCCAGAGGAGGTGGTGGAGGAGGCGGTGGAGGAGGTGGAAAGGGGGAGGAGGAGAGAGGAGGAGGGAGGAAGGGGAGGAGGAGGAGGAGGAGGAGGAGGAGGAGGAGGAAGAGGGAGGCGAAGGCAGGAAGGAGGGAGGGAGGAGGAGGAAGGAGGGAGGAGGGAGCAGGGAAGAGGTGGAGGGAGGAGAACAGGGTCGAACGAGCCACGCATGTCGCCACGGCGCAGGTCCTCGGGCGGTTTCGTGGGCTCTCGGCGGTTCCCCAGCCTCGGGGTGCCTTCCAGCGGCTGCGCCTCACCGAAGGCGTTCCGGGGGTGCCCCGATCGCCCCGAACGGCCGCAGGGTAGCCGAGTTGCGGCCCGAAGGCCAGGAGGCAGCGTCAGGGGGCGAGAGGCGCAAGGGGGATGCATCGACCACCAGTCGCCCACTCATCACCGATAGCTCACCCCGCCAAGGAACGTCGGGATTCGCCATCGGGGGCCCAGCGCCACTCCATCGGCGACGTATAGCCGGCTCCAGCTCGATTCCCCCGTCTGAGCCAGCCTCTTCCTGACTTTTCCCCCTCCCTCCCTCTCGCCGGCCCAGGGGTTGGGAAGCTACGTCGCGGCTCGCCCGTGGCAGGTGCGCGGCGTGTCCCCGGAAGACTGCTTCCCGTGAGATCCGACGTCACGAAACAAAGTGCAGCACCGTTCGAAATCGCAACGCGGACCCTCCTCGACCCCATCTCTGGCAGAATCTCTTGAGGCGGATCGATCTGCCAGGGCCCGAAGCTGGGCGACGACGCCCAGCTCGAAGAAGTTGCGACGCCGGGCTGTCACCGGACCCGGGTTTGGAGAGCTGCCTCGCGTGTGGCCCGGATTCGCGATACGGCCCCCGGCTGGCCCCGGTCAGAAGCGGGACGGGGCGCGAGGAGACGGACGCGCAGTTGGAGGAGTCGGGGCGGCTAAAAGCGGAGTTGGTGCGGGAGCTGCAGCGGCACAAACAGGAGCGGCTGGGCGCGCAGACTTCCCCGTCCACGTCGTCGTCGTCGTCCTCCCCCTCCGCCTCCTCCACGACCTCCTCCACGACCTCCTCCACCTCCTCCACCACCTCCTCCACCACCTCCTCCATCCTCCCTCCTCCATCCTCCTGCTTCTCGTCCTGCAAGTGTCTCTCAGACATCCTAGCTGGCCCCCTTCTCGCCTGATCCGTCAGGCATCAGTCATCCCTCTGCTCAGGCTGCCGAAGGTTGGCGATCAGGTTCGACACGCTGTGCATCGGAGGGCTGAGCGGCTGCGCCATGCTCAGGACATCTTGCATGCCAGCTGGGAGCAGAGCGTGGTCCGAGCGTACGCAAAGGCGCTTAAGGTTCCTATGCGTGGGCTCGATCAGAAAGTGGACACGTCAGTTTTGCATTTGGATTCGTGGGACAAACTCATGTTCCTGTTCGCCAGCATGGACGACATGGCCTGGCAAGCCATCAGGGTAGACAGGCCGGCAGTCTGGGAGTGGCGTCAGAGCAACCATTACAGTCACGTGTTTGACGCGTGTTGAGACGATCGGGCCTTTCATGTTTGGCGAGGACTGAAACAAAAACGAGCATCTCACACGTCGCACCAAACACGTTGGGTTTCTGTTGATGAGTGAGTGCGGTTCTCCGCGTCTCGATCCGCCGCGGGCACGCCGATGGAGTGCCGAGATTCAGCCTGAGGATAATTCAGTGTTTCGGTTTGCGTCGCGTTTCGGAAGGAATTAACGTTCGAACCTCAGACGGGCAGTTTCGTTCAGCTCGTGTGAGTTTTTCTCGTAAGAAAGCAGACAAGAAACGTCCTTGGTGGCAAAGGCCAACGGTGTTCCATCCCATTCGAGAAGATCGCTGGGTTATTTCAGGCTGAACTCATTCAGGATTGGGCGGGTTTGAGGCCTACCCACGCGGCAGAGGTGCCTTGCTTCTTCTTCTTATTCTTCTTGTCCTGTACGACCAGAGGTTCGAGACACCAGCCTGCCAGCGCCGATGTGTGGCGAAAAGTTGTGTCGGCCTACTTGAGCGACCCAACCGCAAGCACACTCTCGTTTCGCAGACGCGGGACGGAGTGGTTCATTCACGTTGCAAGGGTGTCCCCCAATCTTGTCCAATGGCAAGGAGGATGGAATGCGGAAGAGGTAGTGCGTCAGTCGTATGCCCACACGCCCCCCGACATTTTAATGCAGGGTGTTCTTGGGAGCGCGGTTGCCTGCTCTGCGTAGCAGGCGGGGGTCGTGCCGCGGAAATGGTTGATAATCGAGACGCAGGGTGCGTAAGCGTCCCGCGCCCCATTAAAAACAGTTGCATCACAAAACGTCACTATCCAACGCTATGCGCGGCAAGCCGCCTCAAGGGGGCTTGCTTCGGTGGGTGCTCATATGATTCGTCTCCTTGCGGCTCCTCCCTTGGTGGGCTGGGTTACACAATCCGCCTTGATTTTGGCGCAAAGCATCGGCATATGGCGTACGATTGGCCCGAGTGAGAGGGAAACGTTTTTCCGATGGTGGGCAATATACAGACGCAGATGTTTGGTTCATGGAGGCGCTTATTGCGCCAACGGCGGTCCGCAGGCGGCCTTGCCTGGTGGCCAAGTGCATGCTGGTCGTCAGCAGGGTGCCACTTCAGGCACTGGGCGTCGTCGGGGCTCGCGTTGCCCTGCGGCGCCGCTTGCCTCGGGCAAGGGCCCCTTTGGGGCCCGTTTCTCCACCCCCCATTTAGGTCGCCCCCCAGTACCACCCGCCCGAGTGCCAGCTGTTCGTTAACAGAGCGCCGCGTTGAGCGCAGTCTGCGACACGTGCCGGCCCCCGCCGTTCCGCAGTTGGACACCGCGCACGGCGCAGGGCAATTTTTCCCCCCGCTATCCCCGCACCCGTCGCGCAGAGTTGTGCGCGAGGGCGCTGCGTGCGTGCTCCTTTCAGCCCGCGCGAGGCCGCCACATGAGCGCCCGTTTTCCGAGGCAGACATGCGATTCAGGCAAATAATTCAGCAACGCTCCCCCTCCCCCGTCATTCAAAGCTGGCACTCGCAGCTTTAAATGGTGTGAGTATTTCTTCATAGTGCCCGAGAAGTGTCTTCGGAGTGCTCACAGGATTCATCTCCTCTCGGCTCCTCCCCTGGTGGGCTGCCAAGACGGAAGTTTCTAGGGAGTGCTCACAGGATTCGGCTCCTCCCGGCTCCTCCCCTGGTGGGCTGGCATTCGCGATCCCCCCTGATGCTGGGTGAAGCACCGGCCCACGGCGGAAGACCCGAGCAACCCGCCCTGTTCGAGTCCGTCTTTGGGCGTGTTTACTTGAGAGGCTTTTGCTCGCAGGGGCGCTTGCGGTCGGGAACGTCTGCTCAGCGTCTCGCGCAGCCAGTCCTGGCCCACCGCGCCTAGGCGCGACACACTGACCACGTGCAAGCCCCCTGGCATCAACGTTCCGAGCCTGTCGCAACGCATCTTGCCCGGCCAAGCGGCAGGGGGAGCTCATGAGCGCGCTCTTCTGCCCTCTACTCCTAGGAGCCCTCGGTCCCCCAGGGTTCTTTTTCGATGTTGTCGGTCCGCCTCGATATCGACTCCGGCGGTCGGCCCGACCCGATCCGAGCTCGATGCTCGGACGATCCGATGCGGCCGCTGCTCCGCGTGGCTCTGGTGTGCATCCTGGCGCGGCCGGCCCGCTTCCGTCCCGACTCCATGCCGCTGCGGCCCCGACCCCCACGAACGCCCTGAGCCGATCCGGCTTTCCGCTTGGATGCCGCGTGAGCTTGCAGGGGCCGCGTCGCGTCGGGTGCTGCTAGAGGTGCCCCTGGCCCAGGGTGCCCCCAGCTTTTCGCTCCACTTTGGAGCCCCGGGGGCCCTCTGGGCCTCGTGAGGGGTGCCCTGGAGGCCGTCTGGGCCACCCCGAGAATCCTGGGGGTACCTTGGGCCAGGGGTACTTCTAGCAACACCCGAGTGCGGACCGCGGCGTCGGCGTTTGCTGTCGCCATCGCGGCCGCTCGTCGCCCGCCGCCGCCGCCGCCGTCGCCGTCGGCCTCGTCGTCGCCACGGCCCGATGCCGATGCGGCCCGGTGCGGCCCGGAGCCGACGCAGCCTGCGGCCCTCGGCCCCCCCCTCGGCGCGGGCAGGAGCTCAACGGCGGCAGCGGGTAGCGGTCCTCCGCGAGGCGAGGCCTGAGCGGCCGCAGCCTCCCGTCCCCCCCCCCCCGGAGGGGCCTCACCAGCCGCCCTGTGCTTCAGGCAGTGCCGATCGGCGCGATCGACGGGGATGCAGGGAGAGCGGGTTACGAAGACCAACGCCGGTTCCTACCAGTGTTGGGCAGGGCTTGCTGTGGGCGTCGCCGTGGGCGCGGCGGGGCAAAAAAGTCGCCCTGTCCGACAGCGGCCGCTGTTGGTTTTGCACAGACTCTGTGGCTGGACATCGTACCCATTTTTGTCCGTGCCCGTTCCAGGCGTGCCAAGCCAAGGGGGCCACCAGCAGGATGGTCACCATTCTTTTTGGAAACCGAGAATCGAGGAGGAGGGGGGATCGAGGATCGTGAGGGGTTCTGGACGCTTTTGGTCGTCGACTTTGGTGGGGATTCTGGGGCCCTTCATCCGGCCCTGGGACCATCAGCAATGGATCCGGGACGTGCCCTCTTGGGAGCCTCTTGTGCGGAAGTTGCCCGCGCAAGTCGAGGAAGTGCAAAGACGCGGATGGACAAGGCGCGTGGGCCAGCCGACTGGCCACGCCTCCGTCCAAGTGCGGCTCGCGCCGTCGCTAAATCGGGCGGCGGCGCCGGCTTCCTGGTTCGGGGGGGGGCTCATCTCCCCGATCCGCGGATCTGGCGCCCACGCGCCTGAGCCACGAGTCCGTACTGGAGCCATGTTGGCGCGTGCCCGAGCCAGGCCGCGCGGCCGAGTGCCGAGGGGAAGCGGCGCGCCCCAGACAAGGGCCTCGCCTTCGAGGGGTCGCGAGGTCGCGCCTCCCTCCTCGGCTGAGGCTGGCGGGAGCTGGCAGAGGCCTCTCGCCGCCATTCGAGGCGTCTTGCTCAACTCTTCTTGCATGGGGAGGCACGGTCGGGATCACCGCTTGCCATTTCTTTTGGGGGCCTGCCTCTTTAGTAGACAGACCGATCCAGGACCCACTGTCCTCCTAACTCCGCGAAGGTGCTCCGCCGTTGGAAAGGCCGGCGGAAGGGGGGCTCCAGTTCATGGGCCCCCAGGAGGTGCCAACTTCTTTGGGGGAAGGGCAGCGTTTTCCGAAACCGACCACGTAGAGGGAGGACAAGGACGAAGAGAAAAGAAGTGAGAAGGAGGAAAAGGAGGAGTAGGAGGAGGAGGAGGAGGGAAGAGGAGGAGGAGGAGGAGGAGGAGGAGGAGGAGGAGGAGGAGGGAGGAGATGTAGCCCGAGATGAGACTAGGGAGTTAACCCAGCTCGAGGCTGACGTTTCCCTCCTCCAGGGGCCGTCCGGAGCGTTTCTCTGACCCCCACCTCTGTCCTTGCACCGGCGTTGCCCTCGGGTGGGTGGCATTGCTGGCCTCCCGAGACGGCACCCCACCTCCCAGAAGCCCACTTTCGGGGGCGACGACGAGGGCGAATAGTCCAGGGGATATCAATACATGCATCCAGGGGCGGCGATGGTCTATGCCTTCGGCGAGGCTCCCCGGCGAATGCGTGTATTGCTCCTCCCTGGGCTATTCGCCCCTCTCGTCGCCTCCGACATGTGCCCTCCTCTCAGAAGCTCTCCCAAGAGCGTTTTTGTGTCAGGCTGAGGCCTCTCGCTTGAGACTTCCTTGGAGGGAATGGCCAAATACTTGTACTCTACGTCACGGTTACACATGGAAGCGGTTCTTTTCAAACTTGCGATCTCATTGGGGATCAATTTGAGCTGTATGGTCATGCTTGTTCGCATTGTTTTTATTCGTTGGGCGGATGCAAGGCAGTTCCTTTTCAAAACGGAGCTCTCGCCCGAATGTCAGGCCGAGGGGGTGCCGGTCTTTCCAGGGGGGTCCTCGTCTAATGAGAGCGAAGGCGTGCAGGGACGTGCGAGGAGACGACTCTGGACGGGTGGGCGAATTCCAGTGTTCTTGACGCATGTTGGACTTACTCTGGTCCTGCACCCTCTGATCCTCCATTTGCTCCTCCTCCTCCATCCTTTATTTCCTTATAAACAGCTCCTCCACCGCCTGACTTGTCAGTCAAGCGGGCCGGACTTCTCGACTGAGACATCCTCACCAGTTGTGGTGCTGAAGCGCGAATACTACAACAGCTTCATCGGTGGAGGGTGGGTCTTTTTGAGAATGTGGCTCTCGCCCCAGCGCCGCGCACATTCGTGTCAAAAGTTCGCAGCCGCTTCAAGGATTGAAGGCCGTTTTTTTTTTAACAGTGGCTCTCGCCTCCGCGCCGCACACATTCGCATTCCACGTTCACGGCACCTTGAAAGGTGGAGGGCAATCCTTTTCAAACTGTGGCTGTGTCTCTCTCTCTCGCTCTCCCTCTCCCTCTCTCTCTCTCTCTCTCTCCTGCGCCGCGCACAGTCGTGTGAAATGTTTGCAGCATGTTTTGGGTTTCGTATGGATGGGTTCCCAGGAATGGTGTCCTGGCGGAGTGTCAGGACGCAGCAGTCACGTTTGGTCGCGAGGTTACGGTCACAGGAATGGCGTTCTGGCACGAGTCCGTGTTGTCAGGATGCAGCGGTCACTTTGACTCGCGGCGTTGGAGTCCCAAAGATGGTGCTCTCGCACAATTGATGCTTCTCAGACGGTTGTCTTCCCATGGGGCCCGTCCCTCAACGGATATGTCCGTATACTGACTTGTGTGGTCAAACCTTTTGGTGCGTGTATCCCCTACGCCGTCGACCCTCCGCTCCAAAGCTGTTCTGGCTCAGACAGTTTGGGGCTCCGAGCCAGACTCCCCTCTCCCGCGTCGCGGGTGTGCGCCCGCCGCGGGGCGAAGGTCGCAGTGTGTTGAGGCATCCGCGCGACACCGTCGCGCGGCCTGGCGGCGCGGCCTGTGCCACGGTGCACCGCGTGCGCTCGGTGAGCCGCGCACGAGCGCACTCCAGGCCTGGAGATGGACGCTGCGGATGGAGGCGGCGTCGTCGCCTCAGCCGGCGAGCTGCTGGACGACGGTCTGGGGCTCGAAGTCGTCGAGGACGGCAAGGAGGCGGCTGGCGCTTCGGAGGAGCTGGAGCCGTCGCCCGCCGAGCCGATCACCATCGAGCCGAACTCGTTTTACTTGAGTACAGGGTTCGGCGACGACGGGGGGCAGCACCAGTGCGGTTTCGTGTGGCGCGCGCTGCGTGCCATGGCCGCCCCCGAGCAGTTCGTGCGCGCGAGGTTCCTCCTGAGCGACGACGCGCACTGGGACTGGTGGGCGGGGTCTCCAGGCGTTGCGGGAGCAATCTCCCCCAGCGCTTTGCTGCACGTCTGCACGGACGACCCGTGCGGTGTGGAGGCACCCGCGGGATGCGACGAGCTCATCCACGTTTCGGACGCCCGCGTGCTGGAGGCAGAGGACGTCACCGAGGTCTTCTCGAACTGCTTGCGCCGCAACCCCGACGCGGTCTGGCCCGCGGACCTGCTGGGGCCCCGCGCGCGGCGCGGCTGGCCGCTCCACGTCGGGCGGCGCGCCCGAGGAAGGAGAGTGCCGCGCCGCCGACGCCTGGTCTGGCAGGGCCGAGCGCGGCCAAGCACGCGACCGAGGGTCACGACGCTCCCTTCGACGGGCTGCTTGGGGACAGTGCCCTGACCGCGAGGGCTGCGGGCCTCCTTCTCGACCTGGAGCCCACGCGGGACGAGCTGCGGGCAAGGCTCGCCAGAGCGAGGGACCGGTTCGCCTCGGCGGCGCCAGGGGCCGCTGCGGCTGGCGCCCCTCCAGTCAGTGCGGAGGCCGCGCCGGGCGAGGGCAAGCCGAAGAAGCGGGGCCTCGCCGAGGTGCTCGCGGAGCGCATGGCGAAGGTCGCCAAGGGCCCCAGCGCCGAGGCGACGCGCGGCTCGGGCGGGCCAGCTGCTGCGGCTGCGGCCAGCTAGGGGTGCTGCAGGAGAGGGCGCGAAGGAGTTGGCGACGGCGCTCATGGCAGTACTCAGGAGCTCGGCCGCGCAGGCCGCTGGCAGCTCGGACGCTGGGGCCGCCTCGGACCCCTTCAGCGCGCCCGACGGAGCCGCGGCCACGGGGGGTCCGGCGGCGAAGCGGGCTCACTGCAGGAAGACGGCGCAGGACCAGCCTGGCAAGTTGTCAGAGCTCACGCCGATGCAGATGGCGGAGTTCCTCGGCGCCGTCGAGGGCGACACGGCAATGGGCCCGACGACGGTGCTCGTGCTGAGGTACCTGCTCACGATCTACCTGCCGCAGAACCCAGCGCAGCACGGGGTGGCTGCGCGTCGCGAGATGCAGACGCTGGCCGAGGCGATCGACTTCCTCCTCCAGGGCAAGGTTCCTCAGGCGCTGGACATATTGACCCAGCGGCTGAAGGCGGCGCAGGTGGCAGTCGGCGACGGCCACTGGGGCGCGGCGAAGTGGCTCGAGCTGACCCCTGCCAAGGACGAGCCCACCACGTTGCGCGACGAGGAGGAGGAGATGATCCGCTGCATCGAGCTCGGCGAGCTGAAGCTGGAGGAGCTCAGCAGCCGGCTTCGCAAGCCCCAGGGTTGAAGTGGAGGCCAGGAAGAGGCGCGCCCGCCGCTGGCGCCTCCTCCTGCAGGCCAGGCGGGGGGGGGGGGGGGGGGGGGCGCGACAGCGCGGGCGCCTGGCAATCGCGCGCCCGACCGCCCGAAGGAGCCGAAGGGCAGCGCGGCGGAGGGCGAGAGGCCGCCTCGCCAGCGCGTCGCGCAGCTCGACAAGACCGCCAAGAAGCTGCCCGCTGGAGGCTCACAGGCGCCGCTGAACTTCAAGGCGGCGAGGGCTGCATGCCCGAAGAAGGATGGCCAGACGTCGAAGGAGTACAAGGCGCGGCTGCGCATCTTCATGACGGAGTCGCGCGGCCAGAAGCGGTAGCAGACGTTGCCGAGGCCGCTGGAGGTGCAACTTCCGACGCGTTGGGGCCCCCCCTGGCCATCGCGGCCCGGCGCCGCCCATGGGCAGTTTGGGGGCCGCCCCGGGCCCTCGTGGGGCCGCTTTGGGGATTGGGGAAGCGCGTTTGGGTTTAGTTGGAGCGGTCTTCGGAGCTTTG